TATAACTGTCCTTCAGGATCTTATTTTGTGTACTCTACGAATCAGATTACTATACATGGCCATATAATGTAAAAACAAAGTCTACATATAAATAATGCAGCCAACTATCTAAGTGTCATACCAACTAAAACACCAAATAAACCTTGAACAGTGACTACTCTGTTAATATATTAAGATACAAAGTTGTAAAGCTACTACTCATTACATTATTGGGAGCTTTTAGGTAATTCTTGGGCAACTCTGCAATGATTTGTTTTTTTAATGCATTTGAAATTAAGGAAGGAACATGAGGAAGATTACAGGCGGGTGGGAGAAAGCAAAGCAGGGATTATATTACAGGCTTGTGTGCCTTTTTTTTTTTTTTTTTTTTGATAAGATGTTATTTTCAAAGAGGAGAAGTAGGGAGAAAGAGGAGAGAAACATCAGTTGGTTGCCTCTTGCACACCCCCAATCAGGGACCTGGCCCGCAACCCAGGCACGTTCCCTGACTGGGAATTGAACTGGCAGCTTTTTGGTTCATGAACTGGCGCCCAATCCACTGAGACACACCAGCCAGGGCTGCAATGATTTTTTTTTAAGGGGTACTATTTACCTTTTTTTTTAAAAGTTGTAATTGCTGTTTAATTACTTTGCCCCAAATTATTTTTTCTTATTGTTGGTACTATTTACTATTTATCAGGCTTTAATATGAATTAACATATTAAGGCTGTGACTAGATTGAGTAGGTTATTTTCGTAGCATTTCCATTATAATCAATAGTTTCAATATACAAAGCCCTAAGGTGTTATATGTAAGATGATAATAGTGCTAATCATAACTGGTACCCTACAATTCATGTAGATAACATTACACACTAGTGTAAAATACATTATTTGCCAACTGAACATAAGTAGTGGTACTTTGCCACTATAGGGGAACACATATTTAAGAACCTTTGCTCTAGAGGCCAGTAACATAATGGTACAGTGGTCCATCCCCCTTGTCCACTGGGGATACATTCCAAGACCGCCAATGGATTCTTGAAACCACAGATAGTACTAAACCCTATATATATTATGTTTTTTTCCTCATACATATGGGGTACAATAGTTTATAAATTTAGAGCAATAGAAGATTAACAAAAAAATTACATTGAAAAGTTAATGAATGTCAGTAAGTCAAATAAGGGTTACTTGAGCACAACATTGTGATATAGTTTATTTTTATTTTTTAAAAGATTTTCTAGCCCTGGCTGGTGTGGCTCAGTGGATTGAGTGCTGGCCTGCGAACAAAAGCGTTGCTGGTTTGATTCCCAGGCTAGGGCACATGGCTGGGCTGCAGGCCAAGTCCTGAGGGGGTTTTTGAGAAGCAACCACACATTGATGTTTCTCTCTCTTTATCTTTCCTTCTCTCTAAACATAAAAGAATAAAATCTTAAAAAAAAAAAAAAAAAGATTTTATTTTTCTAGACAGGGGAAGGAAGGGAGAGAGAATGGGAGAGGCATCTGATCGGTTGCCTCTCAAACATGTCCCAACGGAACAGAACCTGCAACCCAGGCATGTGCCCTGACGAGGAATCTACCCAGCAGCCTTTCGGTGTGCAGGAGGATGCCCAATCAACTGAGCCACGCCCGTCAGGACTAGTTGATCTGATAACTCAGATGGCTTACTAAGTGACGGGTAGGTAGTATGTACACCGTGGAAGAACTTAAAGGGATGATTCATGGCTCAGGTGAGATGGAGCAGGATGGTGCAAGATTTCATCATGTTACTTGGAATGGCATGCAATTTAAAACCTATGAATCATTTATTTCTGGAATTTTCCATTTAACATTTTCAGACTGGGTAACAAGCCATGGAAAGTGAAACTGTAGTTAAATGGGGGGACTACCATACTTAATAATTTTAAACCAAATAGACCTGGTGGTTTACTCAAAATTTTTCTTTAGATTTCTTAAAATATTTCCATAACTATGACCGTTATCCAGGCCTAAAAACCATACTTCTAGAGGTTAACTAGAACTTTATTGTCATCACTTTTCTAGGATCTTTCCCAAACTTTCCTTCCTGAGAGATACGTAAGGGAAAGAATTATACTTTTTTTGTTACATGTCTTAAATGTAAAAGGACAAGACTTACTTATGTAATCTTGACAATTAACACTTATGAATTTGCTTTCCTATAGGTTCTCAAAGACAGCCTTAAGATACAACTACCTTAAAATTAACTCCTAAAGCATACAATTCTGAGGATCCACATAGCTGTGCACTATCACCAGTATCTAATCTTAGGGCTTTTAAATTTCCCAATAAAGAAATGTATACTTACTCCTACAGCCTTTTAAGTTAGGCACCTTTAGTCTTTTTTTTTTAATTTACATTTATTAATTTTGTATTACTTGATGCAATAGTCAACACCAACATGACTGAAAAATAATGCTTAAGAGAGACTTACTAATCTTTCATAAATTTTCAGATTTAATCTTGTAAAGCTCAGATTCTAACATAATAAGTGTTCCAGGTACACCTTGTATCTTTCTTTTCCAGGCAAGGAATAGGCCAGCTCTTCAAGGATCCCTGAGTCTTTTTAATGGAATATGATCTTTTAGTCTTAATATCCTGGAAAGTGGATTAAGCAGGACTTCACTCCATCTCACACAGTTGCCAGTTAGTGTGGGAAGCAAATAGAATGTTCAGAACATGGTCCTCCTTCCATGTAGGCCTATACCTATATGTGTGTGGTAGGTAGATTTTTTTTCCCTCTCACTAAAGGCTATGTTGATAAAATTATCAAGACTTCAGAGCCATGTTCTTTCCAATTCTTTTCAAGGGCCTACTATACTTAGGTAGATGTTGGAATATGCAAGACAAGTCTTGGCACTCCTGTATTTACATTGCTGCAATATAGCAAAATGGTAGGTTACCTTGGATCATCACCCTCAGAGAACCTACTCAGGCAGAGGGGATGTCAAGCTTCTGCCAATGGCCCTGTGCCTTGGGCAGGTATGAATGAGGAGTCTTCAGTTAGAACAGGGTTTGGTCACTACCAGCTGATACCTCCTTACACAAATCAGGTGTAGAACTCGAATTTGGAGGTCATCTCTTTCAGCAGGGTCTCCCTCTCAACCTCATGGTAAATGAGGTACAAAGATACCGAGTTGCTGTGGAAGGAAGCACACAAGCAAGTGGTAGTATAGGACCGACGGCAGCTGCTGCTCCCATCTATCATAGACACTCCTTGCTTGGGGCTGGCAGCAAGTTGTTAAAGTGCCAGAAGAGGAACAGAAGATTTGTAGGGAGGTGGTGGTAGTTCACACATTGGTCAAGGAAAGCTAGAGGAAGTGACATTTATGCTCAAGACTGAAAATGAGCAGTCAACTTGGAGAAGGGCTGGGGAAGAACTTTTCAACATAGGGAACAGCAAAAACTCTTTAAAAACTTTTTAAAAAATTGTTATTTCTTTCCTTTTCCATTTTCCTCCCTTATACTCCCCCTCACCCCCCGCTGTGCAATCACCACACTGTTGTCCATGTCCATCAAAAAGTTTTGAGCCAAGAAAAAGCTGGCAAAAGCTGGGGAGAGTGTGATGAGAGTGTTTTGAGATGAAGTTGCAGAGGTAGAAGGAGGTCAAATTTTGGAGGTCTCTTAGGTTGTAAAAATTGGTTAATTTAAGTGGAATAGAAAGCTATTGAAGGGTTTCAAGCAGGGTTTTTGCATGATCTGAACTACATTAAAAACAAACTGAAAAAATACAATAAAAAACAATATAGGCTTTGATACAGAAAATAAATTACCCTTTAGATTTTGAAAAGGATTCAAATGCAAATAACAAAAATGACAGGAGGTGAGTTATGAATAAATTCTTTGTATAAATTAAAATCACCGTTAAAAAACTAGACATGGCCTTTCCTTTTACTACCCCTCTGTTTTTGCAAGAGAAATTCGAACACTATTTCAACATTCGACCCTGAAATTAAGGCGCTTAATAATAAACTAAAAAATTCCTGCCAACGAATGTTTGGACAAGGGTGTGATAAGCCCATCGAAATGTATGTTCCTCAAAGTCAGATTGGTCACTCCCAAGTCAACATTTCACTTAAATTTCTTTCCATCCTTGGGGTCCAGGTCCCCTTAGCATGCCCTTGAACTCCACTGACGATCTTCCCAAACTAGTTGCCAATTTTCGATCTCATCTCAGGAAGTGGAAGCAATTCCCGCAGGATGCTGTTTTAAGCTGGCACCACCGTAAGAACAGGAGGTGCTCCCAGGAATGTACTTTCCTAGAGGGGTCTGGAGCCTGGTCGGGTGGTTATGGGGTCTCCAAAGAAGCCACAGGCCTAGGCTGGCTGAAGTTAATAAATCATGGCTCCAACAGCCTGTGCACACTCTTCAAGACCGTCTATAATTCTTCACATGGACGTCAGGAGGGTGTAGCCGCAGGTTCCCAGAGACCTCGCGCACGCCGAGAGAACGGCAGGCATCTGCCAGTGCGCCTGCGCCGGGTCGGCCGGGGGCGGAGCCCGCGTACCGACGTGCGCGGCCACGTGCTGGCGTGATGGTTCCGAGAATAACCGTCGCCGGCCTTCGCGCCTCAGCTGCTCTTGTTGTTTTTTTCCGGACGTTATGCCGTTGGTGTCCTTTTCTGGGGTTACTGTTTTAAAAAACCTTTAGAGTCTGGGTGTTGTGCTTTCAGGGGGTCTGCACTGAGTGGCGCCGAGCAGAGCATTGGTGAATATCTGATCCGGGGTGAAAAGGGTGGGTGAGGGCAGGGAGAAACCAAAAAGCCTTTTGGTGCCCCAACCCCCTACAACTGTTAGACTGGCCCTTGCTCCACCTCCCCACACCCCTTGCCTAGGAAATTCTTTCTTTGGCCTCCCCTCCAAGCCGGCTCCAACTTCCTGCAAACTCAAGAGGAGGTTTCTTAGTTGTTTCGTGTGATTCAGCACATCAGTAACTGTGAGAGTGATTTATTTAGGGAGTTCGAATCCACTGAAATTGCATTCTCTCTCTCAGGTTCTCAAAATGTCAACGGTCAAGGAGCAGCTTATTGAGAATCTAATTAAGGATGATAAAATCTCCCAACGGAAGATCACCATTGTTGGAGCTGGTGCCGTAGGCATGGCTTGTGCTATTTGTATCTTAATGAAGGTCAGTGGTAAGCTTACGCTGGGGCTGAAATTCAAGCAAGCACTTTTAGGTTTTGTTGTTGAGTTCAGAGCTGCAGGGCTAAGCCTTTGACAGCAAATATGTATCCTCTCATGTGATTCTGACACAATTTAAAAAACAGTTATTTAGAGTTCACCATTGCTAGATTATTTGAAATTTTCTTATAGGCACATTGATTGGATCATTTTGTTAAATATAACATTTTATGTTGCGATGATCCATGAAGTGTCTTCCTTGAGGAATAATGGGTGAGAATCATATTTCCCAATGGCTTCCACTTTAATTTTTTTGGACAACTATTAATTTTTTTAATCAGATTTTTCCCCATTACCATTTATCCTCCGTATACTTCCCCTCCCCCACAGTCACCACACTGTTGTCCATGCCCATGAGTCCCTTTTCCTTTCTGCTCAATCCCTCCACCCCCTAACCAACCCCCATAGCTGTCATCTTTGCTTTCTCTCTCTCTTTTGCTTGTTAGTTCAGTTTATTCATTAGATTCTAAAATTTTTTTAATTGTATAAGTATTACATGCTCATTATGAAACAAAAAGTACCATATTTGATAAAATAACAATGGAAGTTCTTTAATTTTCCTTTGTTTCCAGAGCATCTTTTCATATGCTTATTAGCCATTTCTATATCTTCTTTGGAGAAATGTCTATTTAAGTCATTTCCTCATCCTAAAATCAAGCTATTTGTTGCAGAGTTGCAGGAGTTCTTTTTATATCTAGATACTAGCTGCTTATTAGATACCTAATTTTCAAATATTTTCTCCCATTCCCTGGGTTTCCTTTTACTCTGTTGATTGTGTCCTTTGATGTACAAAAGTTTGTTATTTTAATGTAGTTTAATTTATCATTTTTACTTTTGTTCCCTGTGCTTTTGATGTCCTACCCAAAAATCATTGCCAAATTCAATGTCATGAAACTTTTTCCCTTTTTTTTTCTTCTAAGAGTTTTATAGTTTTAGGTCTTACATTAGATCTTTGATACATTTTGAGTTAACTTTGTATATGGTGTAAAATAAATGCTCCAACTTCATTCTTTTGCATATAAATATACTATTTGTTGAAAAGACTGTTGCAATTGAATGGCCTTGGAACCCTTGTCAAAAATCATTTGATTCTGTATGAGGGGGGACCAAAAACCCCCCCTGGAATGTATTATAAAAAATTGTATATTCTTACATGTTTAAACTTCAGTCACCTTCAGAGTACTCTCTGATGCAATACACCTATCAAGACATTTTTTCCAATGTTCACAACACTGTTTGAACTTGTTGATTTTGATGCCTTTGGGTACTTCTGTCGTTTTTTGTTTCACCTCTTCCACATCAGCAAAATGTTCCCTTCTGAGGATTTTTTTTATCTGGGGAAATAAAAAGAGGTTGCTTGGGGTGAGATTGGGTGAATAGGGAGGGTGGGACACAGGGGTCATGCTATTTTTGGTCAAAACTGCTGAACACTCAGCATAGTGTGTGTGGGTAGGTGTCCTTGTAGATCACCCATCATGAAATGGGTAAAGAGGTTGGAAGGGTCTTCAAAAACAATTCATTGAAGCCAAACGCGGCCTTTCACACTAATGCCAGCTGGTACACTGATACAGATGGGTTCCTAGAACACTCATTTAGGAGGGGAAGCCTGTACTACCAGGGGACAGCCTTCCAGAAGATAATTCCTTTGTCGGGGAGTTCCCCCTCTATCTACCTATGCCTCCATCTTGACAAGGAGTCCAAAATTCTTATTTTTATATCATCTTTTTCTATGAAAAATATAACTCTCCTTTGATTATAAAGTAGCCACACAAAAATTTTTCTCACTGTCCTAAAATGGCAATAGGAACATTTTCCAGAATATTTTATTTATAACTTTCATATGTTTTAGGATTTGACTGATGAACTTGCACTTATTGATGTTGCAGAAGACAAATTGAAGGGAGAAACGATGGATCTCCAGCATGGCAGTCTTTTCTTTAATACTTCAAAGATTATCTCTGGAAAAGGTTAATTTTAATTATATAAAGTTATTTTCAGAGCCTTAAAAAAAGCAATGAATTTTACCATGCTGATATCTGTAAATATAGAATTAAAAATAGCACCATTATTATTAAGACCTATAATTTATAGATTAGTTTATTTTTCTTTTGAAAAGAGCATTACATTCTCATTGGACAAAGTTTGGTGAATACAAAAACATATAAAAAGTTTAAAATCTCTTCTAGTAGTTTTGTGTATTTTCTTTGTTTCTTAAGTAACTGATGTGTACATGCTTTTTATTGTTTTTTTAATATTTTTAAAATTTATTCTTAGAGAGAGGGGAAAGAAAGAGAGGGAAAGAAACATTCATGTGTGGTTACCTCTTGCATGCCCCCAGCTGGGAACCTGGCCTGCAACCCAGGCATGTGCCTTGACTGGGAATTGAATCAGTGACCCTTTGATTTGCAGGCCATTAGTCAATCTACTGAGCCTCACCTGCCAGGGCTTTTTTATTTTTTAATTTAATTGAATTTATTTTTCTTTTACTGATTCTATAGAGAGGGGAAGGGAGGAAGAAAGAGAGGGAGAGAAGTATCGATATGAGAAACATCATTTGGTTGCCTCCTGCATATGCCCCAACTGGGGACTGAACCTGTGACCCAGGCACCTGCCCTGAGCAGGAATTGAACCCATGACCTTTGTTTTGTGGAACAGTACCCTAACAACTGAACCACATTGGCCAGGGCTATAAATGCTTTTTAAATTTATCATTCCATCTTAAAGATTTTTCCATGGTATATGCAGTCTTGACTAGTTTTGAATACTGTTGATATATTTATGTATACTTTTTAACCTGGTTTTCTTTTTGGGCTTATACAGGATCAATGTTCAAGGTATAGTGTGAGGCTATAGAACAGGAAATGGCAAGCTTGGTCTCCCATTAGCTTTAGCGTCATGTCTTGACCAACTAAGAAGCCTCAGGGAATTAGGCAAAATAATTATTTTATCTTGCACTAAAGTGTACAGTACACTCTTAGGTAATTTCATTCAACAGATGTACTTTCTACTAGAAGCCCTCTTATCTAACATGACTGAAATGGAAAGTGGTCACTTAATTTAAAAATGCTACCAAAGCCCTGACTGATGTAGCTTAGTGTGTTGGGCATCATCCTGCAGACTGAAAGGTTGCTGGTTCAATTCTTGGTCAGGGCACATGCCTGGGTTGCAGGCCAGGTCCCTGGTTAGGGGTGTGAGAGAGGCAACCAATCAATGTTTCTCTCAGAGCACATGGATGTTTTTCTCCCTCTCTTTTTGCCTCACTTCCCTTTTCTGTAAAAGTAAATAAATAAAAAATCTTATAACACATACTGTTGGAAAGAGCCATCGTAAACATTTTATATGGACCTAAAAAGTATGAATGTACTTAGAATTTCATTTGCTAATTTTATGATTGTAGGGCAAGGCCTTTGAGTTTGACTCAGCTGATTGAGGTTTGTTTTTTTAGTATCTTTTATACGAAGGATCTTTTATAAAGTGCACTAATAGTGATCATTTCAATGTCTTTTAAGTACTACAGTTAATTTAAAGATACCCATAAAACAATTTAATCACAAAACTCTACTAAGTTTTATGGTTTTCCTTTTTTTTTTTTGCATTTGAAAGGACAGTATTTAAACAATGTGCTTTTAATGTCTGAGACATTAAAATTAATATTCAGAAAATAATTATTTTAAAATACTAATTTTGAAATATGAAGAGTTTAAGTATAACAAACATCAGTGCATCCAAGTGAAACTTTACCAATTCAGTTGATAAGTTCTGCAACATCTATTCATATCTCAATCCTGAATGTATGTACAATAGTTAACGCAGATCTTAAGAGCTTGGAACACAGGAGGAGATAAAATACTTGTGGAAGAAAGGGAGGAATATGAGATCAGAACCTGTTATTATGAAATCTTTTGATCAAGTTAGAGGTTAAGCATGACATTACAATGGGAAGATAACAAGGTACTGTATATAAGGACTATTTGAGAATTATAAGCAGCAAGTGCTATAAAAATTCAGTGAAGTAAGGAGTACTATTTATGAATAATATGATTAGGGGATGCCTAGCAGAGGAATTGATATTTAAAGAAATACTTGACTAATAATAATAATTGTTAACACTCATTGAAAATTTACTATGTACAACACACTGTCCTGAATACTATGCATATTAAACTCACTGAATCATCTAAAGGAAAAACTAGGATTAGCTTGATCTTGTCAATGAGGAACTGAGAGTCAGAGGAACAGGCAAAATACTTTTACAGGGTCATGTAGCTAGGAAGTGGCATAGTCAAAATATAGGCAGTTGGACCTAAGTCTGTGCTCCAGACTGTTACGGTTTGCTGTCTCTTGGAGGACTGAGTCATCTTTAAAAAGAAAAAATAAATAACAGCTGGGGAGATGATAGCATTAACAAAACCAGGGCACCTGGAAAATTTGACATAAAAATAAGACACAAAGTTAGTAAGATAATTTGAAGGCAGATTATGAAGACTTGATATTTTACTTTGGTATACAATTTAATTGAGTTGCTGGATGTAATATTTCAAATAATCAATTTGAACTGTGGCGAGATGACTCTGGAGAAGTTGCAAGTGTTTTTGTCTGTGTATCCTCTAAAATTAGAGTTGGGAAGAGGAGAGGGAAAGAGAGGTTGAGGAAAGAGAGACACAGGCAGAGACTGAGGTATTACTTGGGATTTCTCTGGTTAGGTGAGAGTTTATGGAAGGTAATCTCAAGGTCTTTGAGCAAGAATGAGCTGACTGCAGAGAGAGCTTCTGTAAATCTTACTTGATAGAAGGAAGAGACAGTCTTTTAGATTAATGTAAAACATGTTAACCTAAGAAATGCTATCTTTCTAAATTGTCTTTCTGATTAACATTTTTACTGGGCCAGGAAAAACATAAAATGTTTACGATTTATATTTTGGATTAGAAAAATGAGAATGTCTATCAATGAAGATGCAATAGTATCTTTAAAATTGAACAAATTTCCTTTTCAAAAGAGCATAGAACTAATTTTAAAAAATAGAGATGGGATATAGAAGAGATTTAATTTAATTTAATTTTTGACATCCATATGATAAATAACTTCCAGGTTTATAATACTTTAAAACAAGACTAGTATGGGATAGTGAGCATCATATATTGTCATTGGATCTAATAGGTGAAACAATTTTACAACTGGTCATCAGATTTAGAAGGCAATTTATTTTTCTTGTGTGGATCAAGAACTTGCTTGTGATCTCAAATACAGTCTTTTTATAATTAGAAATAAATACAGTCTTACTCTTAAATCCTGGAACAGATACATAATTTTCAGAGTTCTAAGCTTCTGATAATTTACGGTGTTTCTAGGCGGCCAGAGAACTGACTTGCTTTGCCTTGGGCCTTAATGACAAATGAGAATGTCAGTCTAGAAGGATAGTAGGTTCTGTCACTTCTTTTTAAAGCCATGTGAAAATTGTAAGTCACAGTGACGAAACTTCCTTTAGGTTTTTGAAAATAACATTACTGCATGGAAAGTCTGTTAATTTCCAGATGCCAGACATGAAGGTATATGAGTACTTTAATACCAAGGTCATTAGATTTTTAAAGAATTAATCACAGTGATTATGGCATTCTTGATCCAAATATTGTCTTTTGTTTCCTTTTTAGATTACAGTGTATCTGCAAACTCCAAATTAGTTATTATCACAGCAGGTGTGCGGCAACAGGAGGGAGAAAGTCGTCTTTCCCTGGTTCAACGTAATGTGAATATCATGAAATCAGTCATTCCTGCACTAGTCCATTATAGTCCTGACTGTAAGATGCTTATTGTCTCAAATCCAGGTGAGTCTTTTCTCTAACTGCATAAGGATGGTCTTTCCATACTATTCCTTCTTTTTTTTTAAACGAAGTTTATTGAGGTAAAATTTATGTATAATAAACTGTACCCATTCAAAGTATACAATACAATGAGTTTTTTCCCAGCTATTTGAAATATAATTGCCACATGGTATACAAGTTTAAGATTTACAGTGTGATGATGATTTGATACATTAATTATTTCATTGGGAAATAATTACCACAGTAGGGTTAGTTAATACCTCCATCGCCTCATATACAGTCATCCCTTGGTATTCTCAGGGGATTTGGTATGCCCCTAGATAGCAAAATTCTTGGATGGTCAAATCCCTTATATAAAATGGAGTATATCTGCATATAGACTACGGCAGGGTATGCCTATATATTATTTCATTTGCATATAATCAGCATAGTGCTGAATGTGTGGCAGGTTCAAGTTTTGGTTTTTGGAACTTTCTGGAATTCTTTTTCAACTCTTTTTAGTCTGCATTTGGTTGGTTGAATCCACAGATGTGAACCCCATAGATATGGAAGGCTGACTGTAATTACCATTTCTTTATCGTGGTGAGAACATTTAAGATTTACTGTCTTAGCAACTTTAAATATATAATACAATACCATTAACTATAGTCACCAGTGCCATATATTAGATCCCCAGAATTTACTCATCTTACATCCAGAAGTTTAAGTTTATCCTTTGGCTGATGTCTCATTATCTTGCCTTACCCAGCCCCTGGCAACCACCATTGTACTCTGTTTCTATGAGTTTTTGTTTTTTCTTTTTAAAATTCCACATGTAAGTGACATCATACAATGCTTGTTTTTTTCTGTCAGGCTTATTTTACTTAGCATAATGCGTTCAAGGTCCATCCATGTAGTCACAAATAGCAGGATTTCCTTCTTTCTTGTAGCTGAATATTTCTTTGTATATGTATATACCACATTTTCTCTATCCATTCATCCATAGATACCTAGGTTGTTTCCATATCTTGGCTATTGTGAATGATGCTGCAATGAACATGGAAGTTCAGATATCTCTCTGAGATCCTGATTTCATTTCCTTTGGATATATACCCAGAAATGTGATTGCTAGATCATACGGTGGTTCTATTTTAATTTTTTGAGAAACCTCACAACTGTCTCTCATAGTGGTTGTCCCAGTTTCATTCCCACCAATAGTACAAAGCTGTTCCCTTTTCTTTACATCCTCTCACATATCCCTAAATATTTTATATTTTTGATGCTATAAAAGGAGTTGTTCTTTACATTTCATTTTCAATTGTATCTTGCTAGTATATGGAAGCATTGTTGGTTTTGTTTTTTTAAATTTTATATATATATATATATATTTTAAAGATTTTATTTATTTATTTTTTGAGAGAGGGGAAGGGAGGGAGAAAGAGGGAGAGAAATGTCAATGTATGGTTGCCTCTTACGTACCTCCAGCTGTGGACCAGGCCCGTAACGCAGGCATGTGCCCTGATTGGGAATTGATCTGGCGACCCTTTGGTTTGCAGGCTGGCACCCTTTGAGCCATGGCAGCCAGGGCCAAATTATATTTTATTGATTATGCTATTATGATTGTCCTGATTTCTCTCCCTTTGTCCTCCTCCACTCAGCACCCCACACCCCTCAGGCACCCCACCATTGTTCATGTCCATGGGTCATGCATGTAAGTTTTTAGCTACTCCATTTCCAGTACTGTACTTTACATCCCTATGGTTATCCTGTAACTACATGTTGGTATTTCTTAAATGCCTCACCTCTTCACCCATTGCCCACTTACCTCTCTCCCACCTGGCAGCCGTCAAAGTGCTCTTTGTACCCATGATTCTGTCTCTGTTCTTGTTTGCTTAGTTTGTTTTTTAGACTCAATCATTTAAAAAAAATTTGTTGTTCAATTACAGTTTTCCCCATTTTTTCCCCATTGCTCTCCCCTGCCCAGCACACCCTCCTTCTCCCACATTCAATCCTTCCCCAACCCATACTCCTTTGTCCTTGTCCATAGATCACTTATATACATGTTCCTTGACTTGACCCCTCTCCTTTTGTCCCATAATCCCCCTCCCCTTACCCCTCTGGTCACTCTCAGTTTGTTCTTTATTTTCATGTCTCTGGTTCTGTTTTGTTCACTTGTTTGTTTTATTAATTAAGTTCCAATTATAGGTGAGATCATATGGTATTTGTCTTGTTGATACATATGTATTTGTTGCCATTTAATTGTTCATGGTTTTGATCTTTTTCTTAAATAAGTCCTTTTCACATTTCATATAATAATGGTTTGGTGGTGATGAACCCCTTTAGTTTTTTCTTGTCTGGGAAGCTGTTTATCTGCCGTCCAATTCTAAATGATAGCTTTGTGTGGGGTACAGCAGTCTTGGCTGGAGGTCCTCGCTTTTCATGACTTAATATTTCTTGCCATTCCCTTCTAGCCTGCAATGTTTCTTTTGAGAAATCAGCTCATAGTCTTATGAGAACTCCCCTGTGGGTAACTAACTTTTCTCTTGCTGCTTTTAAGATTCTCTCTTTATCTTTAACTTTTGGCATTTTAATTATGATGTGTCTTGGAGTGGGCCTTTGCATCCATCTTATTTGGGACTCTCTTGTGCTCCCTGGACTGGCATGTCTGTTTCCTTCACCAAATTAGGAGAGTTTCCTTTCATTATTTTTTCAAATAGATTTCCAATTTCTTTCTCTTCCTCTTCTCTGGCATCCCTATGTTGTGAATGTTGGACCTCTTGAAGTTGTCCCAGAGGCTACTTATACTATCCTCATTTTTTTGGAATTTTTTTTCTTCTTGTCGTTCTGATTGGTTGTTTTTTCCTACCTTATGTTCCAAATCATTGACTTGATTTTTGGCTTCTTCCAAATCTACTTGCAATCTACTGTTGATTCCCTGTAAATTGTTCTTTATTTCAATTAGCATAGGCTTTGTTTCTGACTGGATCTTTTTTATGCTCTTCAAGTCCTCACAAAGTTCCTTGAGCTTTCTTATAAACAGTGTTTTGAATTCTGCATCTGGTAGATTGCTTATCTCCCTTTCGTAAAGGTCTTTTTCTGGAGTTTTGACATGTTCTTTCATTTGGGCCATGCTTCTTATCTATTCATTTTGGCAACCTCCCTGTATTTGTTTCTATGTATTAGGTAGATCTGCTTTGACTCTGTCTTGTATGGACTAATGTAGTAGGTGCCCTATAGGGTCCAGTGGCATAGCCTCCCCTATTACCCAAGCTGGGTACTCAAGGTGCACCTTTTGTGTGGGCTGAGTATAACCTCCTTTTGTAGTTGGGCCTTGGTTGCTTTTGGCAGATCAATAGGAGAGATTTACCCAGGCCAATCAGCTGCAAGGATTGGCTGTGACCACCTACCACCATCCTCTGCCCTGCATGGAAGATCAGCTGTGCGGGGGCTGGATGGTGGTGCTCTGATGTGGTCTGTAGCTGTCCACTAGGTGCTCTGGCCTTGGGGTTTCCCCGTGGTGCAGGCCAAGGTCATATCCGACCTGTGTTTTGCCTGGGACCACCCTGCATGATCTATAAAGCATCCTGAGATGACTGCTACTTGTGCTGGGCTTGGAGATTCCCAGATGAAGCTAAGCTGTGAATCTAGGCTGGCTGCTGCCAGTGCCAGGCCTGGGGCTCACTGAGGCCAGCTGTTGCTTGTTTGAGAGGATTTAGGAAGTGTGGAAGTGTGAGCCAAGACCAGCCATTCATACGGTAAAGCAGCTTGGGTGGGCCCAAAAGTTGGATGGGGTGGAGTCTCTGGGGATCTGCAGCAGGTCCAATAGTTAGCCAGGTTGCTGGAGTCTCAGATTTGGCACCAGCTTGCTGGCTCTGTGGCTCCTTGGGGAGAGGGTTTAGAAAAGAGAGAGTGGCCTCTGCTCGCTTTGATGCCAGACACTTCAGTTCCTCCCTGGAAGCCACTGGTGCCTTTCAAGCTGCTACCCCAGTGCTGGAGCTCAGGGGGCATGAGTCTGAGTACGTGAGTCCATGTGTGGGTTCTTTAAGAGGAACTGCTTGGGGCTCCAGAAGTTTCTTCCACCGACTCAATTCCTGCTGGTCTTTGCAACCAGAAGTTGTGGGGACTTATCTTCCTGGCACTGGAACCCTGGGTTGGGAGATCTGGTGTGGGACTGGGACTCCTCATTCCTGAGATATCCCTCCCAAATTTTTATCTACTTCACACGGGTGTGGGATCTGTCCATCCCACATCTGCGATCCTCCCACCAGTCTGGATGGATATGGTTTCTTTAATTCCATAGTTGTCAGACTTCTATTCAACTCTATTTCTGATGGTTCTGAGTGGTGGTTATTCTATATTTTAGTTGTAATTTTTATGTGGTTGTGCAAAGGGGTGACCCATGTTTGCCTGTGTCACCATCTTGACTGGCAGCCCTAGACAGAACTTACTTTAAATGTGGAACCAAAAGTATCTCCTAGTCTTTGCTGGGGGGCTCAGTGTGCATGGACACCCACGCTGGAGCATGCCTTCAACACTTGGCCAGCCGATTTATAAATGTGCCCTTCTCTTCCTGCTTGCACAGAGCCCCAAGGGCAGGCAGAGCTTAAGCTTAGGATCTTGTCATGTTTTTCCTGAGCTTGAACAGCGCTGCACATTGCCCTAGCTATGCATGTGGTCTTAGTCTAGGTAGGAGATGCTGATAGTTTAGAAGAGGCTGTGGTGATAGAGAAGAAAAATCTAGGCAATCTTAAGGAAGTGGAATTAACTGACTGGTTATTAAATATACAGAGGCACATATATTATCTCAAAAGAGAATTAAAAAAATTCTGATAGTTAATAATTTAAACTTCTAAAACCTACATAAGAGATTATGAATATTTCTTTATTGATTTGCTTCACCTCAAACTCTGTAATAAATCTATATTTGACTCTAAGACAATTGATTTATCTATTCAGAAAAGCAAATTGTAAAAGAAGTTATTGTAAACTTTTTTTCTAATAAGAAATTGTTCCTTCTAGTGGATATTTTGACATATGTGGTCTGGAAACTAAGTGGGTTACCTGCCACTCGCATAATTGGAAGTGGTTGTAATCTAGACTCTGCCCGTTTCCGTTACCTAATTGGAGACAAGTTGGGTGTCCATCCCACTAGCTGCCATGGTTGGATTATTGGAGAACATGGTGATTCTAGTGGTAAGTATAAACCTATTCGTATTATGTAATTATACTTCTTATCTGTAATGATGCTTGTTTTCTTTAGTCTGTTTTTTCCCTGATATTAATGTCTCTCTGTAACTTTTGTTTTATCAGTATTTTCCTGGTATCACTATTTTATTCTGTTACCTTCAGTCTTTTGCACCATTGATTTAATTACCACTCATAAAATTGTGCATAGAGCAGATAGCTGTTTTAAAAGTCAGTGAGTGTTTCTTTGCCCTGGCTGGTGGGTCTCAGTTGGTTGGAGCATCATTACATAACTGAAAGTTTGCAGGTTCACTTCCTGTTCAGGGCACATACCTAGGTTGCGGGTTTGATATCTGGTTTGGATGTGGGCACGTACTATCCCTGCTCTGGACTCATACAATCCTGGGTCTGGGCATATAGGATCCCCATCCTGGGTATCAACAGGAGGCAACAAATCAATGCTTCTCTCTTACATTGTTGTTTCTCTCCCTTCTCTCTCTAAAAGCAATGAAAAAAAATGTCCTTGAGTGAGGATAAAAAAATAATAACAGAAATTAAAGTTAGTGAATGTGTCTCTTATGAGTGTTTTTCCAGAGCACTTTCATTTATTCTTTAAATTTTTTTTAAATTTATCAATTTTAGGGAAAGAGAAGAAGGGGGAGAATGGGAAACATTGATTTGTTATTCCTCTTACTCATACATTTGGTTGCTTCTTGTACGTACCCTAACCAGGGATCGAACCTGCAACCTTGGCTTGTTGGGACTATACTCTAACCAACTGAGCTACCCAGCCAGGGCCTGTTGTTATTTTTTTCACAGCATTATTAAGGTATGATTCATATACCATAAAATTCACCTATTTAAATTATATATTCACTGGTTTTTAGCATATTCACAGAGTTGTACAGTCATCACCACTATCTATTTCATCACCCCAGAAACTTCTGCTCCTGAACTCACCCCTACCCAAGCTCCAAGCAAGCACTCATCTACTTTTTTACTCTATAGGTTTGTTTATTTCAGACTTTTCATATAAATAAATTTATATTATATGTAATTTAAACCATTAGTTAGGCCACACCAGCCTTTTTCTTTTTTGAACTTACACATTTAAGCTTGGCAGCACAATTAGAACTCTGTACTTCTTACAGTGTTTTCTGTGTCATATGTGTAAATCTTCTTTGCACAGTGGCAATAAGTCTGTTGAGAACAGAGGCCAGTAACTTGGTCATTCGTTTGTTTATTCAAAGCATTTAAAGAGCCCTTCTCATTTTTCATTTTTTTACTACAACCATTATAGTATAATAAATACTTCTGCTATGACTTAGACAAATACTTAATTTGATCTGTCAGCTTGTGTCATTGTCTTAACTCAGCTCTTTCTCCCAAAAGTCATTAATTTTCCTAGATGTTTTAATTTTTCATATGTAATATTCCATTTTTTAAAAACAAAGCAGTGTATTCTGATTGCTATTAATTTGAATATATAACCATTATTTTCAGTGAGATTTCTTTTGTTTCTTTTGTCTTTTTCTGTTGAATCAATTAAACTTTCTTTAATTTCCTTCATTACTTTGCATTATACAATAACTTGGTAAATGGTTACCTATAAATTTTTAGTATTCATACTTGACCTCAAAATAATTAGTGTCTTTATTCTTCTTTGGAACAATACAAAGACCTTGGAATGCTTTAAGTTTGATCACCCTCTTTCTGTCATATATGCAACTATTAACCACTTTTCTAGTTCATCTCTTTTTTATAATCATTATTGGGTAGTCAATACAACTGTATTTTTAAAGGATTTTATGTATATTTTAGAGAGAGGGGAAAGGAAGGAGAGGGAGAGGGAGAGAAACATTGAGGTGTGAGAGAAACATTGATCAGTTGGCTCTTTCATGCCCCACAACTGGGGACCTGACCCACAACCCATGCATGTGCCCTGACCAGGAATTGAACCAGCAACATTTCAGTCTACAGGATGGCACTCAACCCACTGAGCAACACCAGGCAGAGCAATGCTACTGTTTTGATTGATGAATATATTTGCCAATTTTATTGCTTGTCTTTATTTTTTGCATGTAACTCCTTCATTTCTTTCTTCCTAAAGTATATCCTGTCAGTATTGCTTATATGAAAGTGTTTTAGCCTCACATGTTCTTTTTTTCATATTTTTATTTATTGATTTTAGAGGGAAGGAGGGAGAGAGAGAATTGAAGAATTAGAGAGAGCAAGAAAAATACTGATTTCTTGTTCTCCTTTATTTGTGCATTCATTGGTTCATTTTTGTATGTGTCCTGACCAGGAATTGAACCCAAATCTTGGCTTATTGGGACAATACTCTAGCCAACTGAGCTACCTGACCAGGGATTTCACCTCATTCTTGAACGACAACTTAATTGGATATGAGATTCTAGATTGACAGTTATTCCCCGCAGTTCTATGTTTTCGTTGAGAAGTATGGTGTTAATTTTTTGCTCTTCTCTCTCATTGCTTGTAATATTTTATGTTTTTAACCATTCTTTTCTTTGTGGATTCTGTACTTGTACCTTGCTTTAAAATGTCTCCCATATCACATAATTATAAATAAATTTTACTACATACTTCTCTAACACATTATATTTCATTTCCCTTTTTTGTTCATTTGAAACTTATTTTTATATATGGTATAAGGTAGTAGTCTTAGTTCATTAAAAACTTACTGGAATTGGCCCTCGCTGGTGTGACACAGTAGATTGAGCACCAGCATGTGGACTGAAAGTTCACTGGTTCATTTCCCTGTCAGGGCACACCCCTGCGTTGTGGGCCAGGTCCCCAGTTGGGGGCCCATCAGAGGCAATTGATAAATGTTTCTTTCGCACATCAGTGTTTGTCTCCCTCTCTCAGGGAGTTCCTCATGCAATTCCTCTTAAAGGGCCCATGCAGAGACTTACTTAGACTCATTCCCTCTGAGTCCCTGCATGATGGTAGCAGATTGAAAGGCATCAAAGACATATGGGGAGGAAATGAATTGTCTGGCACCAGGTTGAGAGCTGGAGGGCAGCTTTTTCCCAGACAGAAGTGCTGGCAGAGGCCATTGTTCCTTTTCTGAGCCCTCCCCCCGACAGAGCCACAGAGATGGCAGGCAGGCACCGTATATGGGACTCCATCAATTTAACTATTACTGTTTGCCCTACTCAGGCCTGCCCCACCCAACTTTAGGGCCCACCCAAGCGGTTTCCATTGGCTTTTCCATACATATGGCTTGTCCTGGCCCATGCTTCAGATTTTCCCAGATTCTCTCACACAAGCAGCGTCTGGTCCTAGCATGCCCCATACCTCTTGCTAAGTTGTCCCCGGCCTGGCACTAGCAGCAGCTGGCTTTGGTTCACAGCTAGGTCTTGCCTGGGCACCTCCAAGCCCAGCACAAGTAGTAGCCATCTTAAGATCACTTTGCACTTATGCTGTAAGGCCTGGGAGAGAACTCAGTTGGTGGCTGACCTTGGACATACCAACAGCAGTCAAGGCTCTACTATATCAGGAGGGTGTACACAGCCATATGGTAGGCCCCCCTTGAATATCCAGCTTGGGTAATAAGGGAGGCTGTGCCACTGGATCTACAGGACACCTACTACATTAGGCCACTCTACCAAGCCTGGGAGATGTAATAGCTCTACCTAAAACATAGAAACAAACACAGGGAGGCTGCCAAAATGAGGAGACAAATAAGGCCCAAATGAAAGAACAAAAAAAAAAAAAATCCAGAAAAAGAACTAAATAAAATAGAGACAAGCTATCTATTAGATGTAGCATTCAAAACAGTGGTTATAAGGATGCTTATGGAAATTAGTGAAGACCTCAACAGCATCAAGAAAACCAATCAGAAATGAAGGATACACTAATTGAAGTAAAGAACAATTAGAGGGAATCAAGAGTAGAGTGGATAAAGCTGAGAATCAAATCAGTGATTTGGAATATATGGAAGCAAGAAACAACCAGTCAGAACAGCAAGAAGGAAAAAAAGAGTCCAAAAAAATGAAGGTCATGTAAAGAGCCTCTGGGACAACTTCCAGCATACTATCATTCACATGATGGGTGTGCCAGAAGAAAAAGAGAGCAAAAAATTGGAAACCCTTTTGAAAAAGTAATGACAGAAAACTTTTCTAACTTGGTGAAGGTAGTAGATGTGCCAGTCCAGTATCACATAGAGTCCCAAACAAGATGAACCCAAAGAGTCTCACACCAAGACACATCATAATTAAAAAAATTTATTTATTTATTTTTAGAGGAAGGGAGGGACAAAGAGCAGGAAAGAAACACTGATACGTGAGAGAAACATCAATCCATTGCCTCTCACACTCCCCAAACTGGGGACCTGGCCCATAACCCAGGCATATGCCCTGACAGGAATCAAAGTGGCAACCTTTGGTACGCTTGCTGGCACTCCATCCACTGAGCCACACCAGCCAGTGCTCATCATAATTAAAAAAAAGCATCAAGAGAAGAGCAGTTAGTTACCTACAAGGGAGCCCTCATAAGACTTTTTTTTGTCAGCTTTAAAACAACTTTATTAGAAGGCTGTTTTAAATGACAACTTCCAATTCTTAATTTGCTTTTTCACTAATTCCAATTATAAGTATATTTATATATAACAGTTGATTTCTCAAAAGAAACTTTGCAGGCTAGAAAGGAGTGGCAAGAATTTTTCAAATTGATTGGGAGCAAGAAACTACAATTAAGATTATTCTACCCAGCAAAGCTATTTTTTAGAATCAAAAGACAGAAAAAGAGCTTCTCAGACAAGAAGCAGTTAAAGGAGTTCATCATCACCAAACCCGTATTATGTGAAATGTTAAGGGTATTCTTTAAGAATAAGATAAAAAACATGAACAATAAAATGACAATAAATACATATCTATCAACAATTGATTCCTAAAAACTAAATATACAAGCAGAACAGAAACAGAATCATAGATACAGAGAATGTTTTCATGGTTGCCAGACGGGAGAGGGTCAGCGGGACAGGTGAAAGAGGTGAAGGGATTAAGAAGTACAAATTGGTTGTTATAGAACACTCATGGAGATCAAAGTACAGCATTGGGAACAGCGTAGCCAAAGAACATATATGCATGTTCTGTGGGTATGGACAGCACTGTGGGGATTGCCTGAGGGAGTTGTGGGGCGGGGCTTAGTAGAGGGAGGTGAAGGGGGGAGAAAGCTGGGACAACTGTAATCGCATAAACAATAAAATAAAACCAAAAAATTACTAAACTCAAACAACTCATACTTTACTAAGAAGAAGAATTCATTCTGAGACATATTTCTTTTAGTGCCCTTATGGAGTGGGGTGAATGTTGCTGGTGTTGCTCTGAAGACTCTAGATCCTAAATTAGGAACTGATTCAGAGAAGGATCATTGGAAAAATATCCATCGACAAGTTATTCAGAGGTAAAGTATTCATTCATTTTCTTAATGCATTAATAATTAGTCATAAGAACAAAGGTCACAGAAAAAAATATAGTTGATCTTTGTGTTTTGTAAGAGAAATAATTCTAACCTTGTGAAAATCCTTGCATTCAGACTTATATTATGTATAGCTTTATTTCGGGGGCATTTTTCACAAAGAAAATGTGCTTTAAAAGAAGCACATGTGTGTTAGACTTAGAGGGTAATTTACCAAATGATTATGAGCATGGACTTTGGAGCCAGGTTGCCCAGGTCTTAATTGTGGCTTCACCATTTATTAGTGGTGTGATATTGGGAAGTTATTTAAAAATTTAAAAGCTCAGTTTGCAAGTTTTTAAAATGGGGCTAATAATAGAGCCCAACTTAGAGGCCTGTTAGAAAAGTAAATGAGTTAGTATATGTAAAATGCTTAAAACAGCACCTAGAACTTTGTTCATCAAGTGACTAGAACATGCAATAGACATGCAAGTCCAGGAAGCACAGAGGCTCTCAGACAAGGTGGATGCAAAGAGGCCCACTCCAAGACACATCATAATTAAAATGCCAAAGGTTAAAGATAAAGAGAGAATATTAAAAGCAACAAGAGAAAAGAAGTTAGTTACCTACAGAAGAATTCCCATTAGACTGTCAGCTGATTTCTCAAAATAAACTTCGCAGGCTAGAGGGAATTGGCAAGAAATATTCAAAGTCATGAAAAGCAGGGACCTCCAGCCAAGATTGCTGTGCCCCATACAAAGCTATCATTTAAAATTGAAGAGCAGATAAAGAGCTTCCCAGACAAGAAAAACTAAAGGGGTTCATCATCACCAAACCATTATTATATGAAATGTTAAAGGGACTTATTTAAGAAAAAGAAGATTGAAACTATGAACAGTAAAATGGCAGAAAATACAAATCTATTCACAATTGAATCTAAAAAAGAAATTAAGCAAACAAGAAAAACAGAGATGGAATCATGCATATAGAGAGTGTTTTGATAGTTGCCAGATGGGAGGGACCATGGTGAATGGGTGAAGAGCTGAGGGTATTAAGAAGTGCAAAATAGCTATGGAGGTGTGAAGTACAGTATAGGAAATGGAGTAGCCAAAGAACTTAAACACATAACCTGTGGATATAAACAGTGGTGTGGGGATTGCTTGAGGGAGTCGAGGTGCTGGGTGGAGAGGAGACAAAGGGGAAAATATCAGGACAGCTGTAATAGCATAATCAATAAAATAAGAAACCTGTATAGCTTATTTATAAATAATTTCTTGAAGAAATCTCTGAGAAAATTTTAATGGAGTGGCCTTGACATCTAAATTGCTTCAAAATGAATGCTTGCAATATCTTTTCTAAGTTGACTCCTCATTTGTTTGTTTTTTTTACCTTCTGCAACTGTAGTGCCTATGAGATTATCAAGCTGAAGGGGTATACCTCTTGGGCTATTGGCCTATCTGCGACAGATCTGGTAGGATCAATTTTGAAAAATCTTAGGAGAGTACATCCAGTTTCCACTATGGTTAAGGTAGGCTTAAATTGATCTTTATTTATCATCTTTAATAGTTCTCGAGTCCTTACTATGTTCTGAGCATTATGCAGGATGTTAAGTATATAATTTTGAACAAAAAGACAGACCCTGACATCGTATAAGTTAATGAAAAAATGGACCTAATAAAACAATTACAGATGCAGCCTGGGTCGGCGTAGCCATGGCGGCTCGTGTCTTTTGCTCCTGTGTCCACTGACTGCCTGTGGCCTTGGGGTCATTGCCCCAGGTTCCCATGCTGGCTGCTGTCCTCAGCATCTTGCTGTGCCCCACGGGGACCCAGATGAGGCCCCGGGTTCCAGCCCTGATGCTCTTGCAGTTACCAGGCAGTTACACAGCTATGCCACCCATATAGTGACACGCCCTCTCTGACATTAGAGGGCATTGGGGGCCATGTTCTTTATGTCTTGAAACTGTGTGACAAGATTGACCCAGATAAGCTCTTGGTAAATTCCCATTTTACGAAAGACCTGGGTTTAGACTGTTTGGCCAAGCGGAGATTATCATGGCCATGGAGGACGAGTTTGGGTTTGAAATTCCTGATATGGATGTGGAGAAGTTGGTGTGTCCACAAGAAATTGTAGATTACATTGTAGATAAGAAGGATGTGTATGAATAAAGTAGCAGATTCCTTTTCTCCACGGATAGAAGATTTGGAATATACAGAAGAACACATTTTGGCATTACTGCCTACATTGACAGAGTAATTCTGTTTAGACTTGTATTTAAATTGTCTAAGTGTTTTTGCCCTTTGAAAATAAATCTGTAAAACCAAAAATAAAAACAATTGCAAAGAAAATACATAGTAACATATTATGCTTAGTGCTATGATGAAAAACTAAAAAATGCTAAGAGTATACAAGAATAGAATTTAACTGCTCTGAGAAGGAGGCATGGGTGGTGTTTAGGGAAGTCTTCCTGAGGAAGTAAAATGTAGCCTAATCCAAGTAATGAGTAGCAGTTTTTAAAAGATTTTATTTATTTATTTTTAGAGAGAGAGGGAGGGAGAGAGTGAGAGAAACATCAATGTGTGAGAGATACATTGACTGGTTGCCTCTTGCACACCCCCCAACTGGGGTCCTGGCCCACAGACCCAGGCATGTGCCCTGATTGGGAATCAGACCAGTGACCTTTCGATTCCTGGGCCTGTGCTCAACCCACTAAGCCACACCATCCAGGGCAAGTAGGAGTTAATTTGGAATGCTGGACTGATATTCCAAGCAGAGGAAATGCATGTGCAAGATGTTCTGAGGTAGATACAGAGAGAGAAGACTTGAGGATGTGGAAAAAAGGCCAGTTGAAATACAGAGAGCAAAGGGAGCCAAAGGGAGTGCACGGTGAAGGGGAAAGCAAGCAGGGTCAGGCCACTGAAAGGAAGAGGGGAGCGGGATGTGGCAGCAGGTCATGGTCAACACACGGGGCCAGGCCAGGCCCCAGGAGTCGGGGCCCTTGTTTTCAGCCCACCCAGTAGTCCCCCAAATGGCACCATGGGATGGACATGAATTGTCCAGTGCTACTTGGAGAACCCCCTTCTAGAAGGAAGAGTGACAGAGAAAGTAGAATAAAACAAATTCCTGGAACACTGGCAGGGTAGCAGAGGTCTTCCCCAGCCACAGCGCCATCTTCCTGCTATCACCCGACCTCTGGAAGCTCATTTTAAAACTTCAGAAGTTACACAGAGGTGGCAATAGAAAGACCAAGGAAAGGGAAAGGAAGGGAAGGTGAGTTTTACTGGAGCTGGTGCCTGGCTGGGAATGGAATGTGGGCTGACAGTCTGGTGGGGCAGTGGCCTTCCATGGCTATCGGCACTGACCAGAGGGGAGTGAATTGTGAGTACAGCCTGGCAGGGGGCCCTTACAGGAAGACATGTCATCGCTCTGATGGAGCTCATGAGGTTGACTATAAAGTGGCTACCAAAATGAGGGAGCTGACTTCAGTGGAGGAAGTGGCCTCAGAGTCCCTCTGTGGGTGCCTAGAGCAGGACAGGAACCAGGGGTTTATCTTGAACTCCTGAGAAGAGCCCCAGAGATGGTGAGAGGGAAGCTTGGCTGAGCAGTGCCTGTGGGCTCTGAGCTATTGGGGGACGCGGGGAGGCACCACTCCAGCGGCAAGGGGCTTCTCCCTTCCCTGAATGCTAGTGCCTGGTGACTGCTTATAATCAGACCTGGAGGAAGGACAAGATCTCACCTCCTCGGACCCTAAACTCAACCCCAAGGGGTGGGTTAGGAAAGAACAATGAATGGTAAGAAGCAGGGAGATATCGGGGATTTACTGGGTTTTCTTACTTTCTAGGGCTAGTAGGGAGGAAGCAGAGGCTTATTTATGGGCATGGAGGCATTGTGTGGGTCGTGCAGGTTTTAATAGACTCTCTCTGGCAGCTGCTTCTATGGCCTTGAATTCAGGTATAGGAGTGGAGGGAATTTTAGGGCTGTTGACCAGAGTTTCAATAGGCCCAGGAAAGGGCAGCAGCCATGACTGCCCCTATTTCATGGATCCTGTACATTATGGAAGGTTCAGGATAGAGGTAAGGTGGGGGCAATTGCTAGAGGTAGCGAGAAGGGCAGGGGTACCTTCTGTTGGCAACTGGTGGGGGCTCTGCAAGGTCTGAGAGAGTACCCACACCCATAGGCTCCATTGGAGGCTTCTCCTCTGGAGACTTGCGAAGCCGCCTGTGGCATCCGTTATCCAAACCAAACAGAACCTTCTCAGCCACTTCCTGCTTCCAGATTCACTGTTCTCTTGATGTAGTTTATACCACACACAGACTGCTTGATCTGACAGTTCTTTATCAGATAAAATGGCATCATGAAGGAGTGCATGGCATCCCTTCCCTTAGATGGAAGGATGACCCAGGAAGGGGTCAAGTAGACAGTGCTTTTCTTGGTCCCTTTGAGGCCTCTCTCACGTTTTTCATGTTACCGAACACAAATTCCACGTGGTCATAGGACATGATGCTCTTGGTATCATCGACAAATCACTTAACCACCCTGGGTGATTCTTGTGCTCCACAGTCTGACTAGTACATTCTTACTCTGAAGCTCTCTTGCATAGCTGCTTTCCCATATCAGGACACTGAACAGTAATCTAATTTTGCCTTTTAGGGCTTATATGGAATAAAAGAAGAAATATTCCTCAGTGTCCCTTGTATCTTGGGGCAAAATGGTATCTCAGATATTGTGAAAGTTAACTTGAATTCTGAGGAGGAGGTCCTTTTCAAGAAGAGTGCCAACACACTTTGGAATATCCAAAAAGACCTGGTATTTTAAAGCCTTTTAATGTTCCACTGTTTTATAGAAAAGAAAATAACAAACTGTATATTTTACCTTTTTAAAGTATTTTCATCTAATCTGAAAAAAACCCCAAACAAACCAAGACATTGAAGACCTACAGCATACTTCCCGTCTCTCAGGGCTAGTAAAGGACATGGTAGAGAGATTTCTCCTCTTCTATAAATTTCTTAGAGCTCTATGCTAATGATGCTAATAATGGCAAAGATACTATGCTAATGATACAATGATAACTTGTACAAATATAAGAGTTGTCTTCAGGTTTAGTAGAATATATGTAACAATCCATTACAATATAGGACTTAAGATTTTTCTCACAAAACAACTACTACTTTTTCTAGTATTGAAATTTCATCTTGTGCTTTCTTCCCTTAGGGAACCAACCTATTCACTTTATACTACTTTGTTAGTTTCATGTGTCTACATACAATCTTTAATAACTACTTATTTTCAAGACCATGTATATCAGAAGAAAAATATAAATATTTTTTCATGTAAAAAATATAAATGAAATATCTTCAACACTGCAAGTATTATACCAATTCATATAAATTTAAATTGTTGATTTGATGTCTCTGTTGAAATACAAGGAGGTTGGACCATCAGATATAAGTGAAAATAATGCATTGTGGAAAATAAATAGAAGGAAATTTGTCTTGGTTTGTGTGATTAACTCAGACTAATGTGAAACCTGGAACCTCTGACTTCCAACTTTCAATTTGGAAATCTGGATTACATTTCTTTCCAATTCATTCAATAAAATACTACTATTCTTGCTGTGTTATGGTTGTAAGGTCTATATGACATGATTTCTGCCCTCAAGTATCTCACAGTGAGTATTTAAGGTATATCACCTTATTGATTATTAATGAATGCTTGATAATAGTCAATTGGTAGCTCCCTTTTTGTGTCCAAGGTAGGAGTGAATGTGCTTCTTTTGATTTATGTATACAAATATATGTACATACATAACACATATATTTCCTTGATTCCCCTAAAAGTTAAGGCAGGTATAGGAAATATCAATGGAACAAAAGCTAAGAAATCAGGACCAAAGTAACTTACAAATTAAACTAGACTAGTGGGAAAAATTAGAAGGCAGATATGCCAGCCCTGAGGACCCGTATGGCTCTAGTGCAGGTGCATCCATTTGATGAGAGTCACAGTTCACACACTCTTATTTTTGCTGTTGTAATAGTCCTCATTCTAGTTACCTACTGAACATGATTAGTTTCCTGTTTTGTTCTTTTTCCCTTTTTTTAAAAAATACTTTCCTTGAATGCACAAAATATGGGAAAGGGGAATCTTCTGTGAATTTTGCCTTCTTTAAAAAGCCGCTCTTGCCCTGATTGGTGTGTCTCAGTGGGTTGGGCATCATCCTGCAAACCAAGGGTTGCCAGTCCCATTCCAAGTCAGGGCAGGCGCCTGGGTTGTAGGCCAGGTGCCCAGTTGGGGGTGTGCAAGAGGCAACTGATTGATGTTTCTCTTACACATCAATGTCTCCCTTTCTCTCCCTCCCTTTTCTTCTCTCTAAATACATAAATTTTTTAAAAAGCCCCTTTTGTACACCAAATTATAATTCATTTTAGGAAATCCTGGCAGAGATTGAAAAGCCTAGTTACAGTTTCTACAGTGATTATTCTAGGAAGTACAACTGCTCTACATCATGTTTTCTCAGTGGTGGCAGAATGACCCCCAAGATGGTGGAAAAAATGTGTGTGTGTGAAAATCTTAGATATCACAAGGGTTTTACTCTGTGAAGTTCACCCTTACCTGAAAAATTTTAATAATTAATTTTATAAAGTGGGGAGGATAGAATGACTTGGGGAAAATGCCTTAAAAAGCTCTTGAGGGAAAGAGAGTTTAAAAAAAGGTTGAGGAACGCGGCCCTACATTTTATAAAATAATTTGTCAGATGTGTATTATGTATTACAATTCACAAATTAGTTAGAAAACAGTTAATTAGGTAGAACAAGGCAGGAGAAGGGATGTGGATATCTTGGTTTATTTTAGACTTAGGGATGGGAGGGGAATTTTGGATTCTATACTTAGATAATGAATTGATTTTCCCTTCCATTTGTAGAAATGGTTATCAACACTGTAATGATCAAATTCTTAGGGTTTCATATCTCATTTAAAAATTCCTGTTGCACAGAGGGTTTTAAATTTTTTATTTTTTCTACTTCAGTTCACATTGTTGGTGGGAAAATGTAGCCCTGAGGCCTCTTCCTCCTACAGCCCCAGTGAAGAATTCCCAATGAGGTGTCAAAAGCCCTTATTAGATACATCCAAACACGGTTCTTGGGCTCCTCTGTAGATGGGTTCTAGGAAAGCAGCCCTCCTTTTGATAGCAGAGGCCCCATAGGTCAATGTGCCTGCTGCACCTCCTGCCACTGGAACCCTAGGAGCCTTTTTGAACACTGCCAGCTGCAAGTAACCTCAACCTGCCAATTGCGTGCAGGCGATAGGCAGCAGGCGCAGTCGCAGTGCTTGAGTCCCGTGTCCAGCCTCGTGCCTGCTCCAGGTGTGCTGGGCCCCACGAGGCCGCACGAGCAGGGCGCGGCCTGTTCAGTCAACGGTTCCTCCTCCTGGGACCTCAACTAGCTTTCCTTCACTCCCGTCCTCTGCTTCTCACGTGAGTGGCCATGAGCTGGGCAGCGGGAGTCCTGCGGACAAGCCGGAGGGTGCACATGGCGGGAGCGAACTTCTTTTGCCCAGGGATGGCTCTGGCTCCCTTCCTGGTGGCACACGCCCCACTCAGGGATGCTGGCCCTTGACCTGTGTAAGCGTGGCCAGAGGTACCTCGCAGCTGGATGTGCTTGGCCCTGGGCCCGTGGACTCTGGGCTCCGCTCTGGCACTGACAGCTGGGGGAGGGGGAGAGCCAGGCTGGGAGGCGAGGAGGGGCTGTCCTGGCTGTAGGCTCATCTTCGGTGGAGCAGCCCCTTTTCCTTCCTTCATGCCCTCCTGACTTTCCACACCTTCCCCCTCCTCCTGGCTTGCCTCCTGGGTGCTGGACTGCTGGCCAGAAACTACCCGGCTTTGACAGTCAACCCTTGTTATTCCAAGTGTGTGTGAAGCATCTCCTTCCCCACAGGCGCCCAGAAGTTCTCTGCAGACCCGTTCCTAACCTGGAAGTGGCTTTGCAGTTTTTTCTCACTTAGGTTTCCAAGATAGCGACTGTCAAGCGTGAACTTATAAATTTCACTTCAGAGGAGGCCATTCATCACAATAAAATCTCCATTATAGGCACTGGATCGGTTTGTATGGCCTGTGCAATCAGCATCTTATTAAAGTAAGTTATGTGATTAACCACGGTTTCCCGGTTGGAGGCACAGCATATGGTTGTGCAGGTTGTGTCCAGTTCAAGGGTTGAGTGGGAGCCCTATCTGGCTTAATCCGGAGGAACAGGTGCCATTTTTAAGCTCTCTGCCCAGAGTGGGCTGCTCTTTCTAATGCTTTTATCTAGTAGTGATGGTATTACATGTGTTAAAAGCATCTGCGTGAAAGCATGTTGACATTTGACTTTCACTCATTTGCTTGACTAAGAAACTCAGCTCACAAATAATTTGAAAAACTGGAGAAATAGGTGGCAGAAAAAAATTTCAGCTGTGCTGGCAGTCCTACTAGTGCCAAACACCATAGTCTTTCCTATAAAAGTCTCTCTCCCATTTCTTGGTCTATATCTTTATTTCCTTTCATTCCTTGTTCATGTTAGGTTGATTTTAGTGTTTAGAAGTTCTTAGTATTGATGTAGTTGATAAAGTTAGCTCCCAATTCAATGGCTAGACACAGAACTAAGAAGATTCTGAACCTTTCTAAGAATATTAACCCTCATCGGAACCCATAATGGTTTAGTAAATCAAAATAAACTACGAGCTATGCTTTGCTTTTTCAGTGGAATATCTAGAAAGTTTCTTCAAGCTGTAGCCTTTAGTCTTGGCATGACTTATTGGACCTAAAGGATTGGCACTGGGTTTCACTCAGAGGTGACAGTATCTTTAGGGCACATCAGCTGTTGTCAAGTGCTGCCCGTGGTAATCATATGAATTCTCCACGACTCATCTTTGTCCTATGAACTAATGCTTTTTATCAATGTGGATGAATACTCATACATGAAAACCAGTACATTTGTTTTCAACGTCAATAATAATGATAACAATATGCTTTTAAATTTTTTTATTGTTCAGTTACAATTGTCCCCGTTTTCCTCCAATATGCTTTATGTACATTAATATAAGCCACAAAAGTAATTATTAGATATGTTTTATAGAGAAAAAAGACTATCTCAAGTTGTATGAACAGATAAGTATACAGATAATATGTACATATAGTATTTATCATCTCTGTTTTGAAGGGCCTTTCTGAGGGGGATAGAGCTCTAACCCTAAAGATAATAGCCACAAGCTCCTAGAGGTTGAATTTTATGATGTTGCAAACTATAGCATTGTATATATCCTAGAAAATGTGGTGCACAGTCTTTCTACAAAGCCCCCCGTTAAGGCTTACCTTAGTCTCTCCCTCTCCTGTGACTGACTTTGTAATTTCTTTTGTTCAAGGAGTTTATGAAATCTTAAAAGCTCCTTGCTGAAGAAGAAGGAATTCTTCATAGGAATTGTTTAGTAATTTAGTGGCAGAAGTTTATGGTGCTAACCTACTAAAGAACAGTAATGTCTTTGAAAGTTACTGAATTACATATCATAATTAATACATAAACTTCTATCACTATAGTATGCTATCCATGAATTGTTATTTCATTCAGTGTTGTATCTAGTGCCTAGAACAGTGCCTACTAGAGTAGACACTTAGCTAAATGAAAGAACTGCTAAAAGCCAAATGCATGTTAAAAGGGAAAAAACACTGGATAGCAAAGAGAATGGGTATTCTACCCATTTTCATTTTTATAAATAAGGAAGGAGGGTCCAGAGAGATTGAATTCAGATACATTTTTAATAGACTTTATTTTTCAGAAAAATTTTATTTAGATTTACCCCAAAATTGAATAGATAATACAGAGAGTTCTGTCTATACGTCATATCCAGTTAACATCATACCTTAGGATGGTATATTGGTCACAATTAATGAGCAATATTAATGCATTATCTTTAACTGAAGCCCATACGTCACTCAGATTTCCTTAGTTTTTATCCAGTGACTTTTTTCTGTGCTAGGTTCCCAGCTAGGACGCCACAGTACCTTTAGTTGTCCTGTCTCCTTTGGCTCCTCTAGATTGTGGCAGGTTGTTAGATGTTCCTTGTTCTTGATGGCTTTGATAGTTGTGAGGAATACTGGTAATTTTGTAGAATGCCCCTCCACTAGAATTTTTTCTTGTGTTTTCTTCATGGTTATACTGGGGTTATGGATTTTTGGAAGGAAGACACAAAGGTAAAGTGCTGTTTTCATCACATCATATCCAGAGTATGTGTATGGTCAACATGCTTGCTCATGGTTGATGTTGACCTCACTCATCTGGCTGAGGTAGTGTTAGGTTTCTCTACTGTAAAGTTAGTCTTTGTTTTTTTCCCCTTCCCGTATTATGTTCTTTGGAAGGAAGTCCAGCCCACACTTAAAGAGTGGGGAGTTATGCTTCCTCTCCTTGAGGCTGGAGTAGCTACATAAATTATTTGGGATTCTTCAGCATGGGAGATTTGTCGGTCCCTCCCTTCCTCCCTCCCTTCATTTCTTCCTTGCTTTCTTTATCTTTCTTTGTATTTATGTGTGCATTTATGTATTTATCCCTCGCCTGAGGACATGCTTGTTGATTTTAGAGAGAGGGGAAGGGAGGGAGAAAAAGAGGGTGAAAAACATTAATGTGAGAGAGTAACATTGATCAGTTGCCTCCTGCATATGCCGTGACTAGGGACTGAACCCGCAACCTAGATATGTGCCCTGATCAGATAGTGAACCTGTGATTTTGTAGTTTACAGGACAGCACTGCAACCAACTGAGCCACACCAGCCAGGACTAATCCAATCATTTATTAATATCAGTATGAACTCATGGATTTTATTTTTATATTTTGGGTTATAATACAATTCATATTTATTTTCCATCTCAAATTGTTCCAGCTTGAACCATTCATAGCTCATTCAGTTGGCTCATGTGTCTCTTTGACATACCCCATTAATGCAGGGTTTTGTTTTGTGCACTTCTTTAGTTTCTGGCACTGTAAGATGTTTTGGCTTCTTCATCTTGTATATTTTCTGCTCCAGTCTTAAATCAGCCTTTTTCCCAAGGAGCTGTAGTTCTTTTTATTGAGGAATTGTGTTATAAACCGAGGTCCGGATGCTAGGTGTGCTCGTTTTTACCAGGGTTAAATTACATCTTTAAAACAATCTTTCAAAGATAATATTATCAATACTGCTTAATTCTGTTCCATATTACTGCAATCTCTGTGAATAATTCAGAGTACCCAGAAAGCATTGCCATCTTGTATGCAACAGCCTTTTCCTTGTGATGCAGCTTAGACTTCTAGGCTAATCAGTTATAATCTAGTTTAAACTTTAAAGTGCTTGGCTTTGGATTTCCATTAATTAGAATAAAGTAAAAAGATCCAATAATATTAAGTTGGACATGCACTTAAATTATAGCTATTTGAATATTTCTAAATACTAACACAAACTCATTTTTAGTAAAAAATTTAATATATAGATTAAAGAATATGTAGTTATTTAAAACATTTGTTTAAAAAATAATACATCCACATGGTTAAAAAATAAAACATAAAAAGCTGTACATGGAGAAGTCACTCTGTTGTCCAGTTTCCATCCACCCTTTCCCTCAGCAGCTGCCTTAGTCCACCATTAAATTAGTTTCTTGTGTGGAATCCTCTAGTGTTTCTTTTGCAAATACAAATATACTATTTTCCCTTCTTTCGTACATATAAAGTAGCTTGCTAGAAAGGTATATTATTGGACTAGTTTTTGCAGGTAACATTGCTTGATTACACAACTATAAAATTTTGGAGTTGGAAGGGACCTTATATTTTAATCCACTTTTTTCAGAAAACCTTTATTGAGCTCCTCTGTGCCAGGTAGATGCCAATCCTTGGATGAGTGGAGATGAATAAAATTGCCCATTTTCAAGGAGCTCATAGTCTGATGAGAGATTTCTCCTACAGAATCCCTGTTTTACGATTGGTCACTATGCAGCCTCAGCTTAAACTGAGGAGATGTCCACTACCTTCAGAGACTGTTCTGGTTTTGTTTTCCTAATTAGGAACTGAAACGTTCCTCTTTCTTACTTGTACTTCTTTTCTGACTTTTATATCATGAAGAAAGGTTGAACAGATTTACTATGTCTTCTAATAAGAATTTTTTTTATTCTCCAATGAATCAAGAGTTGCCTCCCCACCCCTAGCTAATATCTTTTAGGGCTTGAGTGATGAACTTGCCTTTGTGGATGCTGATGAAGGCAAATTGATGGGTGAGACAATGGATCTTCAATATGGCAGCCCTTTCATGCAAATACCAAACATTGTTTCTAGCAAAGGTTAATGTCATAATTAAATACTATAAATACTCTAATACTACATGAATATCTAAGATAGCATGTCTTGATTTCCTTTTATAAAGACTTCCCCAGTTCTTGAAAAGCTAGTTGTTCCCTACTCTGTACTCTCATAGCATGTTCAGATTTCATTAGCTTGTACTGCATTTGTTTACGACATTTCTTACTACACTGATAAGTTCCTAGGAACAGCAGTAATAATTGTTTTCATGACAGTTATGATTAACTGATTATCCACTTTATGCTAGACACTGAGCTAAGCACTTTACATGTTATTCATTTCTCAGCACAACTGTTTGACAGATGATGCATCTGCAAACTGAGATTAAATAAAAGTGATGGAGTAAGGATTTGAACCCAGTTTTATTTGACTCAAAAGCTGAAGCTCTTAACTACTGTACTTTATTTACTAGGCACCCAGGAGATAATTATTTGAACAAATGAATGAACTAAGATCTCCCTGTTTGAGGGTCTTTTCACCGCGTCTGTCTCTAAGTAAACATTCTCGTTCATCAGTCTTAGGTACATTTGACCTATAACTCTATAAAGCACAAAAGGTATATGTTAGGAGACTTAAAAAATGTACAAGGAAAACTTAATACTGATTTCCTGAAATTCAAAGAGTGCTATGAGCATAGTAGAAGATCTAGCATAGCCCACTCCTTAGTAAATATAGTGTGGTGATTGAACTGAACAGGAAATGGGTACTTAAATGTAAGATATTTCCTCCCATAATCTGTTTTCTAATCAAATCTTCCCCCAGATTACCTTTTCACTGCAAACTCCAATGTTGTGATCATCACAACAGATGCATGCCAGATAAAAGGAGAAACACTCCTGGATTTAGTCCATCGCGAGGTGTCCCTATTCAAGTCAGTGATTCCCAGTATTATCCAATACAGTCCTCTCTGCAAACTGATTATTGTTTCCCATCCAAGTGAGCTTTAACTGTTCAGTGAATAGTTTTTGTTTTCTTTTTTTTTTGGCGGGGGGGGTTGGTCGTGGTTTTAGTAACTTGGTAGGAAAAAAGTGAATATTAAATTTTAAACTACCAATGTAACCAGGATCTTTTCCTGTGTTTTTAATGTAGATGTATTTTGCACAGTTGTAATCAATGTGTATGTACCATAAAGAAGATTTTTTTGTGTGTGGGGAAATTCCTTAGGTTTTTTCCCCTACATTCAGTATTATTCTGTATTAGTTTCAAATGTATAGCATAGTAGATAATCATGTACTTTACAGAGCGGTCCTCCCAATATTTCAAGTACCCACCTGGCCCCATACGCAGTTATTACTGTACTGTTGACTCTATTCCCTATGCTGTAGTTTCCGTCTCTGTGACTGTCCGGCAACTGACGATTTCTGTTTCCTAAGCCCTTCACCTTTTTGACCCAGCCCCGCAAACCTCCTCCCTTCTGTTGACTGTCAGTCTGTTTTCTGTATCTATGAGTCTATTTCTATTTTGCTTGTTTATTTTGTTCTTTAGATTCCACATATAAGTGAAACCATATGGTATTTGTCTTTTTTGCCTGACTTATTTCACTTAGTATAATACCCTCTAGGTCTGTCCATGCTTTTGCAAAAAATTAAGATTTCATTCTTTATTGTAGCTGAGTAATATACCATTGTATACTATAGCTCTTTTATCCACTTGCCTATTGATGGGCACTTGGGTTGCTTATAATGAAGATTTTTTTTTAACACTGGTGTGTATGAAAAGATAATTTGTTTAATCATGTGACTTTCAAGGTTTACATTCTAAAATCCTAACTGAGCCATTTTTCAGATTTCTATGGGTACAGAAGTGAAAGTAACACTATAGTTTATTGCCTGACCCTCCAAAATTGTACCAGACTTTTCATTGCTGAAACGCAAAGTAGACAAATTCAAGATACACTTTGGCGATAAAATATTCAGGACTACTGATAGATTGTGTGAGTGAGGGGCAGGGAGGAATAAAAATGACTTTTAGATTTTCTCACCTTGAACAACTGATTGGATGGTGGTTCCATTTCCCTGGGTTAGGACGCTTTCAAGGGGGTGGGAGTCTGTGAGGGAAGTAGGAGGGGGTGTTGTGTTTAGGGGAGAAAAACCAAGGTTTCCACTTGGGACATGTTAAATTTGAGACAATTTGAAAAGATATTCAAGAGGCAATGTCAGACAGGTAGCTGACCGAATTTGGAACTTGGAAATCTAGGCGGGGATATTCAGTCCAATCACCGTATTTTAAGATCATTTGGGATAGTTTTTCTCCATGGGTAGGCCAAGACTACATGATTATGTTTATTCATTTTAATTTTGATATTAAAATTATTTAAATTTTGTTTCATAATTTTATAAAATATTTATGGATTGAAGGCAGTCTTCGGCACCTTTTGTAAAGCAGTATAATGTCCATTGCACCTCCAGCCAGCAGGGCGGGTTAAGGTAGAGCCAGGCCTTGATTGTGCCCGAGCCTCTGCCTCTGCCTCTGTGTGACCCCCTTGGTTACTTAAGGCAGCAATTTTCAATCTTTTGATCTCATGACACTCATAAAATAATTACTAAAATTCTGCAGCACACCAAAAAATGTATTATTTGCTGATCTGACAAAAAATAAGTGTAATTTTGATTTCATTCACACAGACGGCTATTGTTTTGTTGGTGTCTTTTTTTGACAGTCTAAGGAAAAAGAGATCAGTGCCCCTGACTAAAAGTCAGATATGCATGTTTTAAAATTTTTTGCGGCTTACCAGTCTGGCTATTTGCAGCATGCCAGTGGAAAATCGCTGGCTTAGGGGAATGCTCTAATTTTCAAGTATTTGTGAATATCTCAGATTTCCTTATGTTGTTATTTCTCATTTCGTTCTGTTGTGGTTGTGAGACTATGCTTTGTTATGATTTACATTAGATATATTTTGTTGTTTCACAGATGGTCTATCATGGAAAACATTCCGTCTCTGGCTCAGCTGGAGCGTTGTCCCGTGCACCAAAAACAGTTGCAGTTTCAGCCCCTGGTTGGGGCACATACGGGAGGCAGCCAATCAATATTTCTCTCTCACATTGATGTTTCTCTCTCTCCCTTTTTCTCTCTCTAGAGTCAATAAAAACATATCCTCTGGTAAGGATTAAAAAAAAAATTAAGGAAAACATTCCACGCACACCTGATAATGTATTTTCTGTCGTTGGATGTTCTGTAAGATTCCACCTAACTCTAATTGGTTGATAATATTGTTCAAATCTTCTGTATGCTTGCTGATTATCTAAGTAGTAGTTCTATCCATAATCAAAGAGTGTGGTGGTTTCTTTTTTTTTTAATTTATATTTATTGGTTTTAGAGGAGAAGGGAGGGAGAGAGGGAGAGAAACATCAGTGTGAGAGAAACATTGATCAGTTGCCTCTGGTGTACACCCCACCTGGGACCAAACCTGCAAACCAGGCACGTGCCCTGACTAGGAAGGAATCAAACCTGCGAACTGTTGGTTTACAGGCCGATGCTGAACCAACTGAGCCACACCAGCCATGGCATGGTGTTGGTTTTCAGTTATTATTATTAAATTTTCTACTTCTACCTTTAGTTTTTGCTTCATGTATTTTAGGGCCGAGGTATATAATTGTTATGTCTTCCTGATGAATTAACTCTTTATTACAAAATATCCCTGTTTGTTTCTAATAACTTTGTGTTAAATTTTGCCTGATAATTAGAGCTACTCAGGTTCCCTTGTGGTTGTTGTTTTTATGATGTATCATTTTCCACCCTTTTACTTTCAACCTATTTATAACTTTTTAAATCTAGAACGTGTCCTTTCTACAGAGCAATAGAGTTAGATTTTGTTTTGTCCAGTTTGAAAATCTGTCTTTTGCATAGTTTATTCTGTTCTTATTGATACGTTTGGATCTGTGCATGCCATCTGCTGTTTCTATATGTCTTACGGTGTTTTTGTTCCTTTTTTCCTCTTTTACTTTTTTTTGGCATTAAAGGGATATTTTCTAAAGTATTGAATACCATTTTAATTCCTTAAGTAATTTAAGTATATTTTTTGAGTGTTTAAATGGTTGTTCTTGGGGTTACATTATCAGGTTGTCATTTGTAGAAGCTAAGAGAATAAAGGAGGAAAAAAATATGTTTATAAAGTTTTTGGGTTTTTTTTGTTAACCTTGTTTTTAAATTCTGGTATTCTGTCTTTGTCTAGATTTGAGTTAGTCTGGTGTCACTTCTTTGCTGTACTCTAGCTTCTTGCCTTTCTTTCTCCTCAGGGTTGTTATTAAATACCTTATATCTCTATGCAGCTGTGTTTAAATAAAGGAGGTGTGCATGTGTGTGTGTATATATACATTTATATATATAAATTACATTTATAGTACTTACAATTTATATATAAAGTACATATTATAAAATTATATGTACATATAAATCATACTTTTTTATAGTTGTTACTTAATCACTATTACCAGAGATTTTTCATATCTTTATGTCAATTTGAATTGCAGCATCATGTCACTTCCTTAAATGCAGAACTTTTTTCAAAGACCTTTTTGTAAGGCAGGTCTGAATGTAGCAGTAAAGTTCTGTATTTGTTTACTTGGGAATGTCTTACTTTGCCTTCATTCTGCAATAAGATTGGCTGTGTATATGATTGTTGAGTTTCTCTCCCCTTTCTTTGAATGTCATTCCACTGTCCTCTAACCTCCATCGCTTCAGATTAGAAGTCAGCTCTAAATTTACTTGGGTTCCCTTGAATGCGGTGTCTGTTTTCTCTTGCTGTTTCCACTATTTTCTCTTTGGCTTTTGATGTATCTAAGTGAGAATCTCTTTGATCTTATCTCCTTTGGAGCTCCTTACATTTCTTGACTCTGTAGGTTAATATTTTTCACATTTGGGAAGTTTTAGCCATTATTTCTTCAAATAATTTTTCTGCTCCTTTCTCTCTTTTAGTTACTTTTTTTCCTTTTAGTTACTACAATGAATATGTTGGTGTATTTACTGGTGTCCTACAAGTCTCTGTTCTTTTTTTTTTTCCATTCTTTAAAGTTTGTAGGTTGTAAAGCATTTTATTGGACAATCCTATCATCCCCAATAAGAAATTTTGTCTACTCTTAAGACCTTTATCTTTCAGCTGTTCTGCTGTATTAACTAGGATCTCTCCAGCACGATTATTAAGTGGAGACAGTGGGCATCTTTGTCTCCTGACTGTAATGAAAATCCTAATTTTTCTTCATTATGTATATTTGTTTTGAATTTTGATACTATTTTGAGGTTATGGAAGTGTCCTTCTTTTCCTAGATTGTTGAGTTTATTTCTTAAAACCTTAAATGGGTTTGAAATTTTATTAGATTTTTCTAAAATTCAAACAATCATCTTTTTCTTTAAATCTCACGTGACATTGAACCGTCTTTGCATTTCTATATCATGAAGTTATTTTTCAAAAACCCCACTTAATTATATTTGCTAATATAATACAAGATGTACAAGTATGTAGTACTTGTAGTATGTAGTACTTGTACATCTATGTAAATAAGTGACATGGGTTTATTATTTTTCATGCTATTTTTGCTCAGTTTTGGTATCAGAGTTTTACTATCCCCACCAAAATCTTTTTCCTATAATAATATAGGTTGTATAAGAATGAACTGTTCTTTAAGTTTTGATAAAACTCATCTGTAAACGTTTGAAATGCCATACTGTGGAAAACAGTATGGAATTTCCTCAGAAAACTAAAAATAGAACTGCCTTTTGACCTAGCAATTCCACTGCTGAGATTATACCCTAAGAATCCTGAAACACCAATGCAAAAGAACCTGTGCACCACAATGTTCATAGAAGCACAGTTTATAATAGCCAAGTGCTGGAAGCAACCTAAGTGCCCATCAGTAAATGAGTGGATCAAAAAACTGTGGTACATTTACACAATGGAATACTATGTGGCACAAAGAAAGAATGAACTCCTACCCTTCACAACAGCATGGATGGAACTGGAGAGCGTTATGCTAAGCAAAATAAGCCAGGAGTTAAAAGAAAAATACCATATGATCTCACCTATAAGTGGAACCTAATCAACAAAACAAACAAGCAAGAAAAATATAACCAGATACATTGAAATAAAGAACAAACTGAAGGTGACCAGAGGGAACGGGGGAGGAGAATAACATGGGAAAGAAGGGGAGGGGCTGTCACGGAGCACGTATGAAGGACACGGGAACAAAACCGAAGGGGGGTAGGGTCGGGGCATGGGCGGGGAGGGGCGTAGTCGGGGGAAAACGGAGACAACTGTACTTGAACAATAAAAATAATCATTTACAAACTTAATAAAAAGTTTGAAATGGTGAAGGGATTTTTGATAGCTTATGTATGTATACATTTATTCAAATTTTCCATTCATAAGTCATTTTAGGAAGTTTTCTGAAGTCCATTTCATCCAAGTTTTTAAATGTACTGGCATGTTTCATATTTTATGACTTTTTAAACTTTTACTGTATCTATGGTTTCCTCTCCTATTTTCTAATATTATTTGTTTGGGATGCAGCCTTTTAACCCCCCAGTTTTGCTAGTTTTCTAATCTATCAGTTTCCTTTTCCCTACAAATTAGCTTTCTATTTTACTGATACTATTTTTTTTTATCTTACTACCTTCTACTCTTACCTTTACTCTCTTTTACTTTATGATCAATAAGTCTTTGTTATTTTTAAACTTTGTTTTTAAAAATGCATTTAAGAATATACATTTACCAGTGAGTACCACTTTTTTTGGGTTTTGTGGTACCTTGTCATTCTGTTCTAAATATTTTTAATTCCTAGTTTTATTTTCTCTTTAATTCAGTGAGTGATTTAACAGTATTTTTTTTTTTGCTTTGGAAAATTTAAAAATTTGTGGTTGATTCTAACTTAGCTCAGTTGAATCAGAGAAATGTGGCTTGATAAACTTTAGCTCTTTGAAGTCCACTGAGTAATGCTTACTTTCTGACCTAGTCAATACAAAGTGTAAATGTTCCTTATGTTTGTGGGGAAAAATGGTTTATACTGGGTATGATGATCTTTGTATATTTATTCACTGACATTTTGTTGTTTAGTTTTACTAAATTACTAATTTTTAATTTTTTCTGATCTATATAAATTCTGATAAAGCTATGTTGTAATTGTCCACTATGATTATGAATCAAATATACCTTGCAATTTCCAATTTTTCTTCATATATTTTGAGGCTATCTTAGCTGCACCTAAGTTTATAATTATTATATATTATAGGATTGTTTCATATCACATGGTATTTTGGTTTATCCCTATTTATGCTTTTTTGTTGTTGGAAATTGTTTTGTTTGCTATTACTACAGCTACACTGCCCTTCTTTAGGCTAACAGTTACTACTTTTTAAATTCAGTAAGAACAAAATCCTAATAAAGCTAATGCTGTTTAAATAGTTCACATACCTAAAACAGCAGACTATGCTGAAATTTTTTCCCTTGCCTGATTGTGTTTTGTGTGACAGTTACATTCTATCTTTACTTGTTTCTGTTCCCACTTAAGCTTCAGTGCTCTAAATAGGTACTCTCTGAGAAAAATTATTTCAAAGACTTGATAAGGGGTTATCCATTTATTCATGTTTCTCAAATTTTTGATGGAGTTAAAACCTGTGTTTCTGCAAAATAGACTATGCAGAGTAGCAACAAAGAAGTTTTACATTATTTCTATGGGCAGATACTGTTGGAATTGTGGTACGGCTGGAGTTAGGTAGGGAACCATGTCTCTCACCGCCAGAAAATAAAAAGCCCATCAGATTGACCAGTTTTAATTTAGATCTTTTAAAAGGCATTTTGGATGAGAAGTTTCTGATACGAATTTTCTTCTTCTTAGTGGGATATCTTAAGTTACACAGGCTGGAAGTTGAGTGCATTTCCCAAGAGCCGTGTGGTGGGGAGTGGCCGTAGCCTGGACACAGCCCGCTTTCGTTTCCTGCTTGGGCAGAGGCTTGGAATCCACTCTGACGGCTGTGATGGGCCGACCCCTGGAGGGAGGGGAGAATCAGCAGTAAGCCTTAAAGCGCCTTTGAGCCGTTCATACTCTGGAACATGTCTGGACTGTATTGATCATATGACTATTTAATCATGAAGTAGGATATCTTCTGGGTGGAGAGAAAGGACTTTTATTGCCCTTTAGGTCCTATTATTAGTGTTTTAATTTTTGGGACGGTTATTACTTTTACAATAATCTAACACAAATGTGAAAAAACAGAATGTTACTATAATTCTATATGTGTGGTTAAAATAATTACAGCACTAAGTAACATGATGTAGTTTATATTTAATTTGGGCCAGTCTAGTTCAGAAGAGTAGCATGAATTCCTCATATTAATTGAAAAAATATTAAAGAGAAGAAGAGGGGTAATGTGGTCATAGCAGTCCTTTTTTTCTCAGTTTCTTCTAAGAACCTTTGACATCCACCTAATATAAACCCTGGCTATGGAAAAGGATTTGAAGTGATAAAAGTTAAAACATCAACAGCTCAAAGTTCAAAACTGTCACTCTCTTGTTTGAAGAAATCTCTGTCAAGATACTAGAATTGTGGGCCCCATCCCTAGAAACTTTGATTCAGCAGATATGAGGTGGCACTTGGTCATCTGAATTTTTTCATAGTTCTGTTCAGCAATCCAAGTTGAAAACCACTCAGGGCAACTGTAACAGTTTTCCTAAGGTTTAAAAAAAAAAAATCCTGTTATATAATACCAATAAACAGGTTTTTTGTTACCTTCTTCTTTGTTCCTGTGTGAACATTGCTGGGGTCCCTCTGAAGGATCTGAACTCAGTCATAGGAACAGACAAAGATCCCGAGCAGTGGAAGCGTGTTTAGAGAGTAGTGGCCAGGTGAGATGTCAGTTTTTTGCATTTGCAGTATCTTGGAAGTGAGTCCTGAATTCTACCAGAGGGCTGAGATTAGGTCCCTCAAATATGTTAACATTTCTTGTATTTCTCTTTCAGTAGCCCTTCTTTTATTGTGTGATCATATTCATCAGATTATACATTCTCAAACAGTGAAGTATGAGTGTGTCTCTCTCATTGCTGAGCACGTAAGTGGCACTTACTGGTGACTGACGGTATCTCTTAAACTGTTGCTGTATAGACTTTACTCGTAGTAGTAAAACTGATTTCATATTAATTTCCAGATCTCTGTACTTACCCTCATAATTTTAAGTAACCAACCAAACCCTGTAAGAAACTTCTAGGAGAAATTATTGATGGAAACATTTCAGTTTTGTGATACTGTCAAATAGGTTCCCACACAATGGATGTTCAGTGACAAGTTTCTTCTAAATTTATGTTTGTGATTTCTTCTAACTCCACAATGGCTATGAGATGCTTAAAATGAAAGGATATAATTTCCGTCATCAGCTACTGACAGGTGTTGCCCTGTCAGTAGCTGATGATGGAAATTAGTTTGAAGAATTTCAGGAGAGTACATCCAGTTTCTACTTTAAGTAAGGTTAGCATGTTTGTTTGAAAAATTTAACATTAACTTCACATAGAGGTAAAAGGACATTTATGAGGCGCAATTTTTGAGGTTGCTCTTGTCAAAGTACCTCTTCCTAAAAAGCCTGCTCTTCGTTGCTGCTAAAGGGAGAGAGACAGGGATGGAGGTGGGGGTGAGGCAGATGGAGGGGCCTGTCTTTGTGGACCTTTGCCCTGGTTTGGTGTGGTATTTATCACAATCAATTAGATAGAAGCCAGCCTTCTTGCATCTTTAACTCTACAAACATCTATTAACATTAGGAATCACTGTGGGTAGGTCTTGCTACATTCTGAGTTCTCCAACAGTCCCAATTATGTTTGACAGAGACCTAAGATAGAAGCACCTAGTCACAGAAGTATCAGCAGTTAGTCTTCTGGGAGGGGAAAGTGGAGACTGAATAAGGTCCTTAGTCTGAATGGGAGAGATGAAAGCACAATGGACTTGTCATTGGGAATAACTAGAAATTCCAAAGTGGTTTGGGGGTAAGGAGGGAAGAGTCCCAGCACACATGGCAAGAGGCTGGGGCCCATGTGGAAAGACAGCTGATGAATTATTGTCTGTCAATTTTATATTGTCTTGGTGGTCTATTTTTCTGCCACAGTTCATAGTACAGATCTATTAAATACTCATTCATCCAGCAAGTGCTCTTTCTTGTAATGTAGACCTTTGTATAAATGAGAAATAAAAAGGAATCATTTTTAAGTTTTTACTTTCAGGACCTTTATGGAATAAATGAGGAAGTATTCCCTTAGTGTCCCTTGTACCTGGGCAGAGAATGGTATCACACACCTCATTAAGGTGAAGCTGATCCCTGCAGAGGCGGCCCTTTTGAAAAAGAGTGCAGAAACTCTTTGGGAAATTTTGAAGGAGCTGAAACTTTAAAGTTGCTTAAAGCTACCAATCTGAAGTTAAGCTACCAATCTGATAGTTAAAGGTGTTTTGGTACCACTGATGTACCAGTACTTGACTTGTGTATGTATGTGTGTCCACATGTAGTTGCCATTTGGTCCAAAAGGATATATGAGATTCTGATTTTTTTCAAGTATATGCTACTTTTTTTGTTCTGCCAGGCTGATACCTATGTACATTTATGTGCTATTAAAAGTTGTAACTTCCTCTACGATGTAAGAATAGAAGTATGTGCCAAAAATAACTCTAAATGACACTAAATTAAACCTTGATTTGAACTTGCTAGTTTTTATTTTGGTATTTACAAGTAGATTTTAACTTTTTTTTATTTCTATTTTTTTAAAAAAGATTTTTATTTATTTTTTGACAGAGAGGAAGGGAGGGACAAAGGGAGGGAAACACCAATGTGTGGCTGCCTCTCGTGTACCCCGCAATGGGGACCTGGTCGGCAACCCAGGCATGTGCCCTGAATGGGAATCAAACCAGTGACCCTTTGGTTCACAGGCCAGTGCTCAATCCACTAAGCCACGCCAGCCAGGGCGTATTCTAATTTTTAAAAGATCTAAAATGTATAAACCCCTCAGTGATGACTAAGTTGGTCATTCTTTTCTTGAGAGAACTATAGAGTAGACTGTCTGGCTCCCGAAATACCTTAAAAAGATCTCAAATTAGAATGTGTGCTGCTTTTATTATGTCATAAACTTTTTAGCGCTCTCATTTTGATAGAGAAAATTGTACTAGATGAGTTCTTCAGGACAATACAGCTCATTTGGTGGTCACAAACTGAACCGCTTGCCAGGAAGACTGACTGCAAATGACAATGAAATAGTACATTGTATCTTCCTCCTTAATTGGCCAGACCATCTTGCCTCGTTGAAAAAAGTTCTTAGGTATATAGCTTGGCCACTTGCCACTGTCTTCTTGATAAAAACAGTCATGGCTCAGTCAGGCCTAGAAAGGAAACAAATTTAGGTAGAGACTGCAGGAGGGTGCCACCAGGACCTTTCATAGAAAAAGTCACTCAAATCCCTCAATTTCAATTATTTCAAAATTGAGATTTCTATGTATATATCCTGTATTAAACAGAATTCACTTCATATGCTATAGAATACATAAAGATGAATTTCAACTTACATGGGATATTATGCTTTGTTTGCTAAATTAAAAGACAGGTTTCTTATTAAGGTTTCATGGATTTTTCCTAAGGATGTTCAATAAAGAAGAGAACAATTATGCAACAAATTTTATTTAGCATAGTCAGTCCCAACATTCAGCACAAAAAGTTTACAGAGGATAGAAAGTGCATTAATAAAAGCCAGTCTTTACCAAAAGAAAACAGAAAATATATTATCGATTCAAAATATTTTACACTTGAATGATAAACTGCAATAACTTATTCTGGGCACCTACTGATCAGAGAAAGGAAGAGAAGAAAAGAATGCTTTAAGAAGAGCGCAATCTCCAGCTGGTATCGGAGAAGTCAGTAGAGGTCACTGAGACCGGCAGTCTTTCTTGCTTTTTGCATTAGTGCCCTCAGCTGGAACTGTTTACGGGACAGAAGACGTACATGCTGGGAGGGGGGGAAAAAGTTCAACAATTTAGAATGGCTTTGGTGAGGCATGAAGTATCAGACAGTTTGTAACCTAGATGGGATCTAAGAATTCTAAACTCATATCAACCTTTCTGTGAAAGCAGTACTTCATTACATGTGGCTTTTTAAACTCCACCCGATTTATGCTCGTAGGTTGTATTAAAGTAGTCTGAGACCTTGTATTTACTTCTCTCCCCCCACCGCCCCCGCCCCAAGAAAAGCACCATAATGCAGGATCTGGCTCAGGAATTTGAGCTACATCTTGAGACTATCAAGACACCAGGGAAACTTGTACTGTGACCCTAACAAAAGTTACAAAACACTCGGCTAACTACGACTGTTGGTCCTCACCTGACTAGGAAGGGCAGGGATGAGCAGCATGAGGCCGGCTTTTGTCCGGTGCTTAGTGAATAGAATAGATTTCTTGCCTCCTCTCCAAGTGCATCTGTCCCTAGGCTATGCCACCTACGCAGGCGACAGTGTACAGAAACGGAGTCCCCTCTTGGTCTCCACCCAGTCATTCCTGTGCTTGCACAAGGTCCAAGACTGCTTCGGCCCCTTACTCGCAGTGGGAAAGGCAAGATCAGCAAGTGACCCAACAGAAGCACCAAGAACAGCTGGACCAAATATCCACCGGGTGGCTACTGCTGTTCCTAAAACTGGGCTGCTTATGACCCGGCATGGAGCAGGAGGTCAATATGGCTAACGGGCTCCCTTCTTCATGTCTGTACAACAGCAGTAAGCCTGAAACCACCTTCATTCTGAAGGGCTTTAGTACCAGGGCAGCCCCAAACTTGGCAGGGCTGTTTGATTTGGGAAAACATGTCTAAAATTATGTATCTCTAAGAAAAATTATCAGAAAAACAATGGGGGTGGGGGGTAGTCGGTGATCTCAATTTAGACTGTATGACCTGAAAGAACCAATGGAAATCGGATTGTACCTCCTGACCCCCCCAGGCACACTACGCAGTAAGAAGAGATGCAGTCCCTTTTCTTCCCCTACTCGGACGGATCCTCAGCCTCTGCAGGCGGAAGGCACTACTCATAGCCATAGAGCTCACTTGCTCTCTCTCTTTTGGGAAGATGAGGAATTTTAACCCCCACCCTACAGGCAAACCCTCTTGCTTTGTGGTTTTGAAGGTCAGTGCCTCTCAAAGTTCCAAAATCCTGCAGGGCAGAGTGAGGAACACATACCTTTAGGAAGACATCCAGGTCTATTACTCCCCGCCTCAAGGCTTCTCCCAGGTAAAAGATAGTGTCTTCAATAGCATTTTCCTCTGCGTACAGATTTAGGATCTGTTTATATAGTGGGGCTGTGGGAATGATAACTTCATCGATATCGTTGTTTTCAGATTGATTTTCCATTTTCTCCAGAGCAGAGCTGAGTTCTTCATCCTTCTTTCTCAAAAGTTCTATGTTTTTATCGACCTCAGCCTGAAACAGAACAGTCCAAGCATGATGACTTTATACTAATTGTACACAACTATCTGCTTATCAGATATCTACAACTCAACTTCGCAGAAAGAGATTTGCTAATAAAAAAGCAATGTTTAAACAACTTATGGATGAGACTGATGTTTCAGACAGCACACTGGTCAATGGTAGAGGGAAAGGTGTTACCTACCAAAGTGTGCTGAGTGAGAACAGGGTAATGTTGGAAATCCCTTGAGCCGAGCCCTGTCAGTGGCAATGGCGAGTTTGTCACGAACCACTGAGAAATGATATTGTGAACTAAACCATCAGACAAGACACTTTCCAGCTGGAAGGCTCCTTACATGAAAAACCAGAGAATGGATCTTTCCTTCAAACAAGTGGGCATCTCCCACAGAGGAATAGCTCTTTCCAGTCTATAGAGGATTCAACACACAGAACCCTGAACACTTGAATACTTGAACTTGAATAGTTGCAAGATATCACGGGTGGTAGTTGCAGGTTCCGAGTTGTACTGGTGTCGTTTTCCTGAACTTTTGAAAATAGTTGGCTACTGGGAAGCTCACTTTACACTAGAATCATTTTGTAAGATGAATGTGCACATAGCAAGTCACTTTCCCCAAAGTCCTCAAACACTCAGTAACTCTTAACCCTTTCATCGAAAATGCACATTTATTATAATACATTCTCCCTCACGGGAACAATAGCAGAGAGTGAAGCCGGCACTCAAATTATGCTAGTGCTTCTACTTCACAGCTGAAGTCACAGGGCTGACTTACGCTGACTATTCAGGGCACAGCAGCCTGATAGTGTGAGAAAGCTTAAGAACTAAAGGCTGCAAACACTACATTTACATGTAGCTCTTAAGTCACCCATATACTTTGGACTACTGAGCTGGAAGGGCTCAATGAAGATACTTTAAGTACAGCTCAAGCAACACTTGGAAACAAGAAGGCCAACTCTGAAGTCTGCCCCGGGGGCTGCAGGCCTTCACCACGTCTAGGCGCTCTCTGCAATTCTTATTTCTTGGTAATGGCAAAATCAAGTACTCAAAAAACCAGTGCTCCTTTGGGTCAAAACATCAGCCCCCAGGGTGAAGGAGCAAGCAAAAAAAAATGTTCTAAATACCATCTAACTTCCAAAGATCAAATACAGGCTCCATTTTAAACAAAGCTGTAGAGAAGCTATATTCAAAAGCTGAAAAAGACATGCATAATTTTCTGAACTCTGCCTATACCCCACAATGTCCAGTGTAACAAGGTAGCACAGAACACACTGCCCTGCCTATAATTCAATCTAAAAATTGCAACTATTCAGTAAGTTACTTACTACTTCTTGATCTAAACGCGTAACCATCTCTTCCAGCTTCTGGTGACCTTTTTTCAGGTCTTCCTCTGTTCGTTTCAAGGCGTTGAGCTCTGCCTGGGCACGGTCCATCTCCTCCTTCATCCGCCATCTCAGTTTGTCACTGACCGCTGAGATGAGAGAAGCTCGGATGGTGTCCTCACTGATTGTGCCATCCCTACTGGGACCTGCAGGAGAAAAAGGCACAAACGCTGATTTCCCAAGCTTCTATTTCTTTCACAGGAACCTTCAAAAACAGGAGAAAGGACAGGCTTCCTTTGGAGATGGCTGCATAGGTAAGCAGGGCTTGCCTCCTCACATAACCACATCCAAATTGCAAATAAACTACAGAACAACCATCATTCAGACTGTCAGAAATCAAGCTGAATGGAAGTCCTACAACTACAGAGTCAAAGAAGAAACTACATCCAGACTGGCAGGAGGGGTGGATAAAAATCGAGAGGGCTATCTCAGGAGCGAGGGGTCCCAGCCCCACACCAGGGTTCCAGTGCCAGGAGGTGAGTCCCCAGAATTTCTGGCTCAAAAAAGCAGCAGTGATTGAAGCTGTGGAAGACAGAAACTGCGGGAACCTCAGGCAGTTCCTCCT